TATCTTAACTGCTAAGATTTCTAGAATTACAATAGAAAACCTGTAATTTTAAAGGTCATTAAGTATTACAGACATTCAACGTAATGAAATGACTTTTTGATTATAAGGTAAATCTTTTAGGCATTTTCTTTTTAAAAGTTGGAAGAAATTGTAAAGTCTAGATTCTCATGTCTTGCTGTTTTACAAATCAAAAATATAACTCTTATTTGCTTACAACTTTGTGATTAGGCTATATATCATCCTATTTTACTATTAAAAACTAACTTTTATAAACCACAGTTAGAGATACAGAATGAAAGTCAAGGCAATATAAAACTCTATCATATTTTTAAGGTTTTTTTATAGCCTTCTGTTTAGAGCTTCGTTTTGGCTCTGGGAGTAAAATGCTTTTTTTTCTCATACACCAAACTAATTATTTAGATATGTACTTTTCTGTTCATTCAAGAAATAATTGTTGATCATCTTGCTACCTGCAAGGTACAATATCACAAGCTCATATGCAAGAGTAAGCAAAATAAATACAGCCTATGCTAGTGAAAATCTAGAAAGAGAAACTGAAATTAATGAGATAACTACAGAAATAAAGGTAAAATTATCACCACAAAAAATGGTATGTAGGTAAGGTAAATAGGCCTCACATCTTGTAACTCGTGAGGGGATTTGACCTTCTAGTCTTTATAGGGACACTATGTAGGGATAAAAGTATACTTCCCCGAAGAACTAACCTTGGAACTCAGAGCAAAGTGATTATTAGAAATTATGTACCTGAAGGAAGATGTGTGAAGATTCTAGGAAGTAGAAATTACATATACATAGGTCTTGTAGAATAAGGCAGTGGGAGTTATTTGAAATGAAAGGACACAGTGTGCTTGGTCTACAGAGAACAAAGGGACTGTGATGCAGGATGGGGCAAGAGAGCAATGTCAGGGGCCAGACCAGTCTGAGCCTTTGAAAAGACTATGATTTTAAGTTTTTCAGAGCAATGGGAAAGGCTCTGAAAGATTTTTGAACAGTTGAAAATGGTAGGTAGAATGGTTTGATGGGATCAGATTAATTTTTCCAAATGTGTTGATATAGCAGGTAGTGGATGAGAGTAGATCATCACAGCTTGGATGAGGAAGGTAACAGTGAAAATGGCAAAAACATGAGTCTGAAAACCCACCCTGACTACTACTCCTTTTCGTTATTGAATGTGTTTTCAAGCCACGTTTTGTGCCTGTAACATAAAGGATCAATACTATGTTCAGGAAATCTTATTCTGTAGCTTCCAGATAGAAATCTTTAAAAGAAAAAATAAAAAAAGGGAAAGTAATGTGTTGCCTCATCAGATACTACTCCACTAGCAAGCTTGCAATTTTCACAGTGTGTTAGTATACACATTATATGTCGATTGTTGTTTTGACAGTGTTTATCTGACAGTATTCGGCAGTGCCCACTGCATCCTTAATTTCTGGTGTTTAGGTTTCATAGTTGCACTTAAATTCATTGAGAATGCTAAGCATTATCCTTCACTGAAATGTTCTCTTCCCCCTTGGGACTGTTTCTTCTTTTGCTATCATGACTTTTTAAAAGAATGTCATGTAATAATGGTGTCTTAGGTTGATTTACCAATGATGTCTTTGTTTTAAATTTCTGTGTCATTAAATATAATTTCCTATATATTCTGTTATCTCTCAAGGAAATGACCTAGTCATGTGAGCAGGCTTCTCTAGTCTTCATCAGAATATCCTCAGGAATTTTCTCTCATTTTACTTCTCTTTGAGGCTCATTGTTTGACCCCCCCCACCTCTTTTCTTTACAAAATATTTGCCCTACCTTTTTTTTTTTTCATTTAAGCTTATTGGTATATCTTAGATCTACAATATGATGACATTCATCATTGGGAATTTGTGCCTTTACATGATATATCTTGTTTGACAAATATTGGATAAAATAAGTGAATTTGTCAGTGATTTGCAATAACCATTTTCAGCAACCTCCATGCATTATTTATGAAAATACTTTATATACCAAGTTAGCTTTGGTGAAATAATATAGTTTGCACATTAGTAATAAAACAGATTTCATATCTTTGATGTTCAGTAAGTTTCATCGTTATTAGAGAAAGATGAATTTTGATGAAACTTCACAAGTCCTCTTATTCATTAGTAAATGTTAGAATTTAAGGATAAATTACCCACAAATGGGAACATACTTAAAAGAATAAAACTAAGCCATTTTTCTTTATTAATGTTTCACTTACCTTACACAATTTAAAATATAATATTTAATGAAATGAATGACAAGCTTTCCATTTATTTTTAAACAATGTACATGCTTTCATTCAACACTGGGATGGTGGCTCACTTTCTTTGGGGATAAGCCCCCTGGTGAAAGGGAGACTCTAAAGCCTTATAATCAACTAGAGAATTATTAATAGAGGAATTGGTTAATTATGTCTCAGTTTCCAGTTTCAATGTATGTTAGATATTACTAAAGCAAAGTTTCTTTTAAAAAGCCTACATAAGCTTCTTAAAGTTGTTTCTGGTATGCCAGAGGAAGAAAATTTATTTTGTTGGATCTACATCTACCTCTCCTAACATGATTACCTCTAATAGCTGCTACTTAATAAAACCTGTATTCTTCTTGGCCTAGACTTAACTTCCATGACAGCTACCTGGCATGCCTAGTGCCTAACTTTATTTTGGATATCCTGTATGCTTTTTAATTATATTTGACATGATTGCTCGGCTCCATAGTGATTTCTTCAACAGGTTGTTACTTTTATTACTGGTGCAATTAAAGTATTCTATATACAATATATATTATATGTATTGATGTCACAGGAAATAACATCAGGATATGAGACTAGATCTGTTATAACTGAAAATAGCATTCTACCTCAAACTTTGTTTAGATAACTACTTGACAGAAGATCTTAATAGAATGATTTATTGTGACCAAAGTGAGTTATAGGCTGCTTACCTCTCAAAATCCAATATTCAAGAGAGGCAAGTTGATGGAAGGAATCATTTATTCAAGGGCATGCACCCTGAAAGATAGAGGGGAATATTTTGCTCAAAGTTCCTAGGAGACAAAGGGCAGTGTAAGGAGGGAGAACAGGTACAGTAAGACAGCGGGCAGGAAGGCTGTGTGCTGAATTGGGGCTTCATCATCCAGGGCATGTGTCACCTTTTTCTTTTTTCTCTGGAACATGTCAACAGACTTCAACCTCAAGGCTAGTTTCTGTAGTTCTTCTGCAAGTCATTCCTCACAGCTTTGTTAGTTGGTGGAACAGTAACACATTGTGATATTTACCAGATGCTCTGGGTTCTGTACATCTAAAGAAAGATTACTTAGCAGTTACTGCCTTAGTCATTTAGGTGCAACTTCTCTTTATAAACGAGAATGCTGGGCAAAGGGAAGTGACTGAATACCTGCAAAAAGATTAGGCAGGGGAAGCAACTTTGTGGAAGAACAGAGAAAGGGGAAGCAAAATAACTGCCAAGGACACATCCCCGAGAAGTTGTCACTGAGACATATGTTAGTTATTTAAAAGTAAAAAGCCATGCCCAGAGGGAAGGACTGCAAAGTATGAAAAGTAGACATTAATTAAAGAGATCTCCAGACTAAAAACAAAGCTTTCCACTACAATCAACCCAAAAGCCGCAGCGCGCGCACACACACACACACACACAAACACACACACACATGAGTGCACCAAACAAAAAGCAGAAACATGAGAAGACAAGAAACAAAATGCCTGCAAAAACTCCCAACTCCCCAAAAGCTGATCCATGGGGCATCGAAGAGGTGGAAATTAAAAGCCACATATATAATTTATTTGCAATACTATCAGGGGCGATAACAAAACAGATGAATAAGGCATTGGTAAACTCACAGAAGATAAAAGTAATGAAATATTGGACCAAACAAAATTATCAGTCTAAGTAAGACACTAAAAAAAATAGAAGGGCTAAATAAAATGATGTAAAAAAGTGAAATAGTTGTCATCAACTCTCCCCCTGTACTGACCAGTAGTATGTACTCGATTATGTATTTGTTGAATGTATTACAGTAGCAATCAACTTCCATATTGAAGTACTCTTTTTGGTTTCACCAACATAATCCATTCAGGCATGTTTATTCCTTTTTTTAAAAAATGTAAAGCATTCTTGAATTGTGTGCTTTTCTACAAGTTAATGAAGTATTTTATAAAAACCATAAATGTTACTCCAAACTGAGAATACTGATATAGAGAAACAATATTTTATGTTTACCATCACATACCATTCCTACTTGAACCAAAGAGCGTATTTGGAACTTGTTGACTAGTGGGGTATCTCATAGAGCAGATTTACTTGGTAATGTTAGAATACCAAACATAATAGTTTTAACCTACATAAATAAGTTTGAAATTGATAACTTGTAGTGCCTAAAAAGCTTATTTTATATGCAATGTATTAGCATAAGTGAAATTAAATAAATATGTTAAAAATTAATATGAAGGATAATTATACTTATTTTCAATGTAGTTTGTGTGATATTTTCATTACTTTAGGGTTACAGCTTGTAATCATCAAAAGCCTTTTTAAAATTTCTAGAATAGTATAACAACTATTTAAGAATCCACTGAAATGGTGTTCAGTGCTTAAGAGCAACTTGCATGACAGTGATGAGACTAGCATTTTTTTAGTCTTTAATCATATATAATTTCACCCTTATGCAGAAAAATTTATGTAGTAAAAGTAATATATATGGATTACTGATTTATAACTAAAAACAGTGATAGACTACAAAACTCGAGAGCATTGTCTAACTGTTGGAAAATTTGTTTTACAGGAGAAAATAGGAGAAGTTATTTTTGCAACTTGAATATGTACTTCCATATTGATACAAAATTTTTCATCAATTATTGCCAAATTATTTGCAAAAGTTAATGCTCTTCTATCATAATGGACCAGGGCAATTTACATTTAGTTTTCTTATCCCTCCCCCCCAATTATTTCATGTCATTTCAGTTCTTCAGAAAATTTAGAGGAGCTCTCTTCCTCCACTAGCTGGTTACTTAATCAGAAGCACAGCAAGAAGAGGAAAAAAGACAGGATAAGATTGAAATCTCCATCTTTGACTATCATGAGCACAGCAGCCCGAACAAGACCACTTCAGAGTTTCCAAAAACGAAAACTCTACAGATTGAGCCCCACTTTTTATTGGGCTCCTCAGGTAAGTCAACCTTCTAAAAATATAAACAAATAATTCACTATCAGTATACTTCATATATAAGTGCAAAAGGATTGTGCACAGTTATTCAGAATAATTACAGGTAGAAAATTTAAAAATATGGTTTTAAATTATATAATAGGTGTTGTCAGTACATAAGTAGAATTTACTAATTCATAAAACATAGCACTGTACTCTAAAATTTCTCAAATCCTTAGATTGTTATAGTTATTGTTTGAAGCTGGGGATTGAACCTAGGTCTCCTGCAAGCACTGTACCACTGAGCTATGCCTAGCATTTCCTACCCCAACTTTAAAAACTTATTTTGCTCATGCTAATTTAAACAATTAAAATGTACTAGAAAGGGTAACAAGGAAATGGGGATATGCTGTATATTTCTCATGAATAGTTGTTCATGTAAAGAAAATCTTCACAACTATGAGTTATTTTGGAAGAAGTGATGCTTTTGTTTTCAGGTTTTGTATTTCTTAATCCTGTGAGCAATCCGTTTCCTCTTCTGAAACATAAGCGGTATACTTTACATGTCCATGCTTACACTTATACGAGAAAAATATCCTTCATTAAAAACACTCATTTTTAAAAAGCATATTTTTATTTGTAAAAAAAGATGAATATACTTCTTTAAAATTTTTCTTGATGGTATTATTTAATACTACTGTACCTTTTTCTGACTGTGACTATATTAACTATTTTAAATATACTTGTAAAGAAACCAACATCTTTGCTTCATTAGAAATCAACTTTCAGTTTTGTTAAATCCAATTATAAATAAGAATGTGAATTATCACAATAGGTTTTTGTAAAGAATGATTTTTACCATTTACTACTCAAGCTATTATTAGTGCAAAATATTCTTTAAATAATTGTTTTATTTCATTATTTGAAAGATGTTTCCTAAATTGACTTATGGGGAAATGATTTTTAAAGTTTTGATAAATTATTTTTATTCAATTTTTTTTTAAATTTTTGAGACAGGGCCTTGCTGTGTAGTTCAGGATGACCTTGAACTCACTATGTAGCCCAGGCTGACCTAGAATTTGTGGTGATTCTCCTGCCTCAGCCTCCTGAGTGCTGGATTACAGGTGTGTGCCATTACACCTGCCCACAATAATTTTTCTTTACAGTTGCTACAATGGATAAGTAACATTTTTGAAATATAATTTTGTGATTTCCTACTCATAAGTAGAATTGTTTGTCTTAAATGTTTTACATATGATGATTATGTAAAAGAATGGCCTGGGAAGGTAATCAGTATTAAAACTTTCAGTAAACAAAGGCGTATACTCATCTTTTTTCCCATCAGAGAATAGAGGTTACAGGGCAGACTGCTAACCTGAAGTATGGAAGGATAGGGAAATCCAGAAAGTCCCAGCCAAGGTCTGTTTACCTGGAGCTGGAGCAGAATCTTCTATAACCATGTGCTAACTACTAAGAAAAATTAAATCATAATATTGGCAAATTGCCCTCGCCTGAGTATTGACTAACTTGAGAGTGAGAAACTCCTAGAGCCATAGTTATGGGTGAGTGCCTACACTTCACCCTTCTGGGTTTTCAGTGAAAATCCAAGAAGGACCTCTAGTGGTGTTGGCAGGTAAGAGGAAGCGTATCCACTGTGAAATAAGCCCAGGGTGTTCTGTATAACAAAGACTACTCTTCTTTTGGGGGTGGTTCGGGGGATCAGGGATTGAACTCCAGACCCACTGAGCTACATCCCCCCACCCATCAAAGATTACTCTTAATGGCAAAATATCTTATCAGAGCTTTCCTACAACCTGGCAGGAGATTGTTTCTCACACTCTTACTCCCAGTACCTAAGGGAATGGGGTAGAAAATACACACACACACACACACACACACACACACACACACACACACACACACAAATTGTTAAGGTCATAGCTCAGGGACATAAACACAACAAAAGGCTGAGATTTAATCATAACGATTGCAGAGTATTTCCCTTACCCCATATCTCACCATCACAGCAACAGGGCCCCAACAAGAATTTCTGTTGTTTCAGCCACTCCTTTGTAGTATCTTGCTATGGCAGACCTACAAAATTGTTATAGTAAAATTATTTGTCAATAGGGACTTTGTACATATAGTTAAGAATTTCAGGTAAGATCAGTTTGGATTTGGAAAATTCACTACTTCTTTCAAAAAATGACAACATATGCAGAGAAAAGCCAGAGCATGAATAAATGTTTACCAGAGATAGGAAATGTATGATTCAAGGACCCGGTCAACTATCTCAGGAGAAGAAAGACTAGAGATAGGCTATCCATAGAGAATCTTTAAAGAATCCTCTTGTCTGGTGACATGGGTCCTCTTGACATGTGGGAGTCCCTCAAGTTTTTGAGCATCTTATACCACAGAAACACTATCAGCTTAGACTGAAATTAAGATGAAATAAAAGAAAGTTTTCAAACCCCCAAAATGTATACGCAGGAAGTGGACTGATGAAGATATTCAATTGCAAACATGTTACTCTTCAAGATGAAAGTGAATCATAGCCCTAAATGTGAATGAAAAACCATCCTCTGGAAGAAAATAGTTAAGTATCATCATGTCTCTAGGGTAGTTGACTTCTGAAATGGGGTACAAAGATCACTAATCAGAAAAGATTGGTAATTTGGTCTTTGATAAAATTTTGAACTTGTATTAATTTAAGGACAATATTAAGTCAAAGGGAATATACTCAGTGAAGACATTTGACCTATTATTGGTATAATTATATATGCAACAAATTTTGAATCCTGAGTGAATGTATTATATATTTTTAATGCCTTTTAACAAAAGAAATATCAATGTAACAAAAATAGGCATAAACGTGGAGTTGTACATCCCAAAATGGTTAAAATGGAAAATTTTTTGTATACATTTTATCAATAAAAATTTTGAAAAATAAAAAGTATAAGACTTAAACAGATCTTTCCTACAAGAGCATATCCAAATGGCCAGTAAACACGAAATATGTTTAAAAAATCATTACTCAGCAAGGAAATGCAATTAAAAATATAATGATGTACCACTATGCACATTTGTTCTTATGAACCAGAAGTTCTACTTTTACAAACCTACCCAAGAGTAATGACTATACAGGAACACAGAAAGACATGTAAGAATGTTTGTATGGTTCGGGGGCTCCACAGAGAAAAGACTGAAAGATAGATGGTAGACTGATGTCTGAAGACAGCAGATGGAATGTCCAATCTCAAAAACAGAGAAAGAATTTGCTTTGCTTTTCTCTGCCTTTTAGGGTGGAACATCATTTGGATTAGCGTTGAGATGTACCAAGGTTTGGTGAAGCACACTATTGGGTGTGTATGGGTGGATCAGGGAGGCAGGGCTTTGGGGGTCCATGTCTGGACCCTTGCCCTTTCTTCTTTGGCACTATTCTCTTACTCTTCCTTGCTGCTGCTGTGAACTAAGCACCTTTGCTCTACCATGACCTTCTGCCATGATGTTTGTGCCTTGAAGCCAGTTGGTCATTGTCTGAAATGCCTTAAACCATGAGCCAAATTAAACCTCTCCTTTTCAGTGTTAGGTGTTGGGTCAAAGTAACTGGAAAACTAATACAAAAAATTGGTACCAGAGAAGTGAGGTCATTGGTGTGACTGCACTAGGTTCAAAAGCCTTTGGAATTGGTTTACAGGAGGAGTTTGGAAAGATTTGGAGATGTTATCTAGAGAAGGCTTAGAATGCTATAAGTAGAGGACTGATTCAACCTGGCTGACTAGAGGAGGAGTGGAATGGGAGAAGCTTAGAGGAGTCACTGAGAAAGAAAGTATTCTGAAGGGAGGAGGGCTTTCACACTGAGGCAAAATGAATAGGAAAGATGGTATGTGCAGATCAAAGCAAACTAATGGACAATGGAAAAAGGGAAATGGTGCTACCATGACAGGTCCACCTGCCTCCATCTGCCACTCTTCTGGGGAGTAGTTATTTTCACAGTGAAGCAAAGAGACCAGATTCCTGGGACAGAGTTTGCATACACTACCCTTGTCCTCACAAAGTCCCCCACAAAAACTGGGAAAATTGACATCTTTGCATTTACCTCTATAGCAGGTACCGCGGGCATAGGAACCCTCTCTCAACCAGACTTGGGCCAGAGAGAGGCCTGGGCCAATGTCTTGACTTTATCCTTCTTTATAGCTGAGTAGTGATTTCATTATATATAGATATCACATTTTCTCTAGCCATTCATCTGTTGATGGGTGTACAGGCTGCTTCTGGGATTTAGCTATTATAAATTGTGCTGCTATAAACATTGGTATGCATGTATCATATGTAGTATGTAGTATCTTCATGGGGAAGATATCTAGAAGGGGAATAGCTGAGTCATATGAAATTTCTAATTTTAGCTCTTTGAGAAATCTTCATACTGATTTCCATAATGATTGTACTAGTTTACATTTCCATCAATGTAGAAGGGTTCTTTCTTCACCACAGTCATGACTTAATTTCAACACATAATTCCAGATAATATTTTCTTCTACATTGAGGGTAAGGAATAGAAAGATCTGAACCGAGGTAACAGATAATGACAATGAAATAGAGTATAAGTTAATTCCATGGTATGAGAGATGTCTGATTAAATGAAAAAAGTAAGTGGTTTAAAGTTCATATAAGAAGATAATACACTACTGGGAAGCCAGCTCTTCCCTGTCTGTGCCGCACCTCCTCCTGCACTCCGTCTGCTCCAGCAATCTCTTTAGGCAGTGGGAAGTATTTTGATTGAGGAGTTCCTCACTTTGACAGTTCTATACTCTAGTGACTTTTATAGCTTAGAAAGAAAAATTTATAGCTTGTATAGCTATACATTCTGAGAAAATATGCTTTGTATAATTATGTATCAATTTGAAAGGTACCAAATTATGGTCTAAAAACTATTTCCTACAGAGAAGTAGAGCATTATAATGATTTTATGTATGGGTGCTAGAAGACACTGGATTGAAATCTCATTTCTCCTTTTTTCTCTTAATACTGGAAATCACACTTAGGGCCTCTTGCATGGCAGCAGGCACTCTACTAACATGGAGCTATCACCAACTCTTTTTTAAAAAAATATTTTTATTTTGAGACAGGGTCTCTTAAGTTCCACAGGCTAGCTTCAAACTTTTGATCCACCTGCCTCAGCCTCCTGAGTAGCTGGGATCACAGGGATGAGTCACTATGCCTGGCCCAGTTCTCCTTCCTAATAGTAATATATGGAATAATGAAAGTTATCTTATGTTCCTCATCCATAAAAAGGATGAGGATACCTATCCATGTTCAGCTGGAAGTGTCAGCTGAGCTGGAAGAAGGGACCTAACTCAGTTATCTACCAGGTGGTTATGCTGCCTATTGGCTGGGACAGCTCAGTTCTTGTGACATCGTATCTGCATGAGCTAAGGTGCCTTCCTTCCATGATACAACAGGGTAGTGATGACAAAAAGTGACAAATCTTTTGAAGCCTAAACCCCAGGTATCAAACGTCATTTCGCCTTCCTTTCCCTCCCTCTCCCTTTTTCTTTTTTCTTTGAGACAAAGTCTTGCTTTATAATTCGTGCTGGTCTTGAACTCACTTGGTAATCCAGGCTGGATTCAAACTCACAGCAATCCTTCTGCCTCAGCCTCCCAAGTGCTGGGATTACAGGTGTGCACCATGATGGCCAGATTATTTCCTTCCACTTTCTATAGGACAAAGCAGTCACTGACCCAGGCCAGATTCAAGGGAATGGAGAAATAGACATCACCAGTAAAAGGGAATTGTAGGGAGATTTGTAACAGTTATCATTAAGCAACCTTACACCTGGGGTCTGTTTTGGGGCATGTGTTAACTCCAAGTGAAGACATTGGCTGAATTAAACAGTGGAGAGGGTACCAAGGCTACTTATACAGTTGTTGCATTTAAAAGGTGTATACCACAGCGTGTGTCATATAAACCCTTTCAAATGTGAATGAGGTTGATGATAATGATGATCATTCAGTGATTAGAAGAACAGTGGAGAAAGAGGGATGGATTTTTACATAGAGGAGCGAAATACTAAAATGTTCTGAATGATTAATATGGTATCTTTCAGCAGCACAATTACAGTAGGAAGACTGGAGAAATGGAAATCATGAAGTTATTTGGTACATTGGATGTAAGATTATAAAGAATAGGAATGATTATGTAGTAGAATGAAATGAATTGATATATGATTTGCTATGGTTAAAGTTTTGAAGAGAAGAGGAAGAAGAGGCCCAGCAAATTTATGGTACTGCCAATTAGACTTTGTAAACTGTTCTAGGCAGGTCCTGATAGTGACATGGGAGAATACCAAACCTCAATTGACATCCAACTTGATGTCATCTGATTTACAAGTCTGTAAACTCCATTGTGATAGATGAGTGAAAAATATTATATCATTCAGAACACAAATAAATCCTAAATTGCATACATGAAACTTGTACAGCCCTAATTGTGTTTTCTCTATGGACCATTCTCTGTGTGATGTATTAATTCTTTAAAGCCATTTTCAAGGAAAGTCAAATAGTCTCCATCTCTGTTGCCTGTTGCAGTTGGCTGTTGGCTTTCTAAAGCTCCATTTGAGAAATATCTTGACGTCTGGGATAGGGGAAGAGAGTGCTGTGGTTAATCATTAATGTTTACAAGAGATGAAGAAAAGACTGATAGTAGACATGCTCTGTGACTTGTCATTCCTATAAATACGAAATGCTATAATCTCACTAATTCACTTTCTACATTACTTAATAACATAGGAATATATGAATGAGTGCAGTGTTTTTTTACAATTATATGTATAATTCTGGGGTTGCTTAGCAAACAGAAATAATGTATCATTAGTTTATTCAAAATCTTACGACAACTGAGCCAGTATTATTTTGCCTACCTTTTAATGTTTTTTAAGAAAATCTATGCTAAAATGTTAAAATCTTATAGCTTTGTTCACTTTTATACAATTTTTAGAAAAATGCCTTAAATTTAATTCATTAAATAATTTAAAACATTGCTTAAACTATTTTATTCATTATTTGACTAAAAGTTTTTGCTTGGTTGGTTTTGTTTTGCTTTTTAGCATACATTCTTATTCCTAGAGTGTGCATTAGTTAGTTACCCTGTTGTTTTGTCTTCCCTGTAGAAAACCTGTGGTAAAGAAAATGGTTATGTAAACCACCATCTTTGAAATTAAAAGTGCATTGTTTTCATTATTACAATTGAATCAGATTTAAAGTGCATTGTTCTTTTCATTTGCCTTTTTAAAGGACAAAATGTTTTAATAACTGTACATAATAGCTCCTGCCATGTGAGAGTGCTGACTTTCAACAACAAAGTATCTTCAGCAAGAAAAAGACACAGAAGTCTTTTAGTAGCAATCTATTGTGATATGGAAAGACTGTGACTTTTGGTATTTTGCTGTTTTTCTATTGTTGTGACACTGTTGTGCTCCAGAGTAGGGAATTGAAGGTAGGAGCTAAGAGTAATGAAAAGGGACAGGTGTAGTCCCCACAGAGTTGTGTTTATCACGTTTGCCTAACACATGAAAGGTCCCTGATTTGAAACTGGTTGGATACAAAAGGATAAAATATACATGAATACTGATGACAAAAACAATGAGTAATATTGTATAGTGTTATAAATATGTGTGGGATTAAGATGCCAAACAATGATAAAACACACAGAAAAAGGTGAGTGAGCAGAGTCAAGGTGTTCTAATGTCCTAATGCTTTTGAGGAAGATGGTAAAAGGAGTACTGTATTATACTGTAAAAATCAATGGATTAAGGATCCATGTTGTAATCTCTAGGAGGCAAACCATTAAATGAAAAAAAAGGAATGCATAAAATAAAACAACATGAGAAAAATGTAACAAAATATTTGATTAATCCTAAAGAAAACAAGATATAAATTAAATATAAAAAATATTACAGAAAGTCAGCAAAAACAGTTGCTGTTTGAAAAAGTTACTAAAAACCCTCAAGACTCTTCAAAAATAATCTAAGCTTGTTTTGATATTTAAAAATCCTTTAGTGAAATTTACCAAATTAATAAAGAAAATCCATGTGATCATTTCAGTTGGTTCAGAAAAAGCATATGATTAAATTCAGCATTAATATATTTTTAATATTCCTTTGGCAAATTTGGACTATATCCTGTACATACCAAAGAAGCAAATCCTACAATCCACATCACTCTAAATTTGATGAGTTAATAAAATTTGTTTTAAAGAGCAAAACAAAAGCAACTGCTTTGATTATTTCTGTTAATTGCCTAACAGGTGAACTTACCCAGCATGATTGGAATCCCCCAAATAAATAATAATAAAACTATTAGTATTGAATGAAAGAAATTGGACTGTTATCATTTGCAGGTAATGTTTAAATAATAGAAGACTAAAAGAAGCTATAAATATACTACTAGAATAATAAAGTTTTGTGCAGTTGTGGGATATGATCAATAAGTAAAAGCTATTTTAAAACCTTTTACAATTGAAACAAAGTTAGGAAAACATTTAAGATATGTATGTTTATAGAAGAAAATTGCATTGTTTTATTGAAAAAAAATGTATGATTAAATAAATGAGGGACATGCTTTATTCTTGGATTCTTTCTGCTTTACTGTAACTTCTAAGATGAGAAAAAATTCCACTTTCACGGACATAACTTCATTTTTCAAAAATAATATGGGATTAGTCAGACTTCATCTAGTTTATAGCTGGTTTTTGATTAGTTTATCTTACATCATTATTCTGTGTCATTTTAAAGCTCTTCCCTCAAGGTTCCTCATTAAGATAGGACTTTTTCATAGTATCGATCAGATACTGAATTATAACTGTTACACTGTCTTGCATTTAACTTTCAAGCAAAACTGAAGTCTGTTGTTGTTCATTGCAGATTATGCATTCAAAAGCAACATCATTTTTCAGTCCTACACAAATGCCTTGCCTGCAGTCACCTGCAGCTGGGATTAACTGTGAACACAACTCCAAGTCTCAGATGTTAAGAGAACATGTTGCAGACTTAGATTCCTCTTTCCATCCTGTCCTGTCATTGCCGTCAGGTAAGCTTCCTCACGAAAATGTCTAAGTAACTCTGTGTACTTTCTATAGTGAAACAGAACCTTATGTACACAAGTAATCTAAAAAAGTTATTGTCACGAGGCCTGAGCAGTTTTTACAGAGGAATTTAGTTACATGTGACACTGATGTTTTTAAGTTGATTTTTAAATTATTTTTCTTTGAGAAGTGGATTTTAACCTCCTGTGCCATTAAATTTTGTTAAAACTTTTGGCAACCAGCTGTGTTGCTGTGATGTTTCTCAGTAGTAATGGGCTGTTTTACATGGAGTTTTCCCTACCATACAATGTTCTGCCGTTTATAATTATAGACTATATTTAATTTATTCAATTGGGAGGAAAACCATCTATATAAGTTTAGTCAGCTTTTGAACCTAAAGGGTATACATTATCTGAGTAAGTGGAGGCATTTACATCCTACAGCTCTAAGGCACTTTTAAATTCCCAGTTCTTAATATTTTGGGTAACTTTCCCGGGCTTTCCTGTTAGATTCAATGTAAATATTTTAGATGGAAAAGGAACATGCCTCATGTTCCTCACCTCAGGTCCTTCTCTTTATTAGGGATTTCGCAAATGGGCTTTTGTTTCCTTTTCAGCTTGTGTTAATCTTTTTAACGTTTTCAGTTAGGAGACTGTCTCTCTTTGTGATATACTGTTTTTTCTACCTGTATTGTTTCCATACATCTTAATTTAGTTCTTAACAGTATTAACATGTTAACTACACCATTCTTTAAATTCTGAATGGGAATTCCATTAGCCTGTCTTTGAGACAACTTTCCTAGTAGGTAGAAATAATAAAACACTGTACAATATTACTGCAGCTAACATTTATTGTCAGCATACACTGGGCTCTGTGTATACTAGGCATCTTTTATTTTCTTGTTTAATTCTCAAAACAACCCCATGAGAACAGATGGTGTTGTTCTCTGCATCTTACTTATGGGAAAACTAAGCTTAGAGACATGATTTATCCACAATTAGTGTCTTAGACATTTTTCTCATTGCTGGGACAAAATACAAAAACTTGCACCTTAGAGGTTTATTTTGACTCACATTTTAGAAATTTCAGTCGTGCACAATCATTGGCTCCACATAAGGGCCTGGGCAGAAGAAAGCTGTTCCCTTCATGGCAGAGGGGAAGCAGAGTCAAGGGAGAAGGGAAGGGAGCTACATTCTTGCAGGTCACCTCCACACTGACCTCCTCTGACCAGTCCCACCTTGCTGTTGCAAGTCAGCTATAATGCTCCCATCTTCTTTCATACAGGAAGCTCTAGGAGCCATTTTAGATCTATACTTGATCTTAGCCAAAAGGCTGAGAACGATTGGGGACATTTTAGATCTAAACCATAAAACTGAGCTAATAAATGATGGAGCTAGTTCATTCGAAGGTATTCTCCTAAAACACCATTTTGTTTTTGGCTCTTAAACTTCCTATTTCTTAAACCTGCACATGCCTGTAATCTCAGCACTCAGGAGGGTGAGGCAGGAGGATCCCAGGGATTCAAGACCAGCCTGGCTAGTGAAATCAAGGTCAGCTTGAACTACATAGAGTGACCCTGTCTCAAAAAACCAAAACAGCAGTAAAAAACTATTTCATATATATGAAATAATTATTTGGGTGTGTTTCAATACATAATCTTGATTTTTCTTTTGGGAGATTGGTGTGTTTAACATACCTTGATCATTTTCTAACCCTTTACGACCCTCCCTAACTGCTCCTTCCCCACCTGTCTCCTAAGTGATTTTGTTTCCTACCCTCTCTCATTTCATTTCAGATTTCTCTAAGAGAAACCATGTTTGTTTCTGTTGACATGGCCCTGACAGCTGACACCTGTTCTTCATCATAAGACCTAACCCTGAGAATGTGTATAAATATCCTTCATCTTACAGACAGAATCATTATAGGGGACATTATGTTTATAATAAAATTAGCTCACCTTCTTTAGGGCCATCCATTCCTTGAATTCATTTACTAAAAATCTCTTAACTTATATACAGTGTACTGAATAGGTGCTAGGAGTTAAATACAAATAAACCAGGGCACTTGTTTTCCAGTTTAGAACAACTGAAAAGTATACTAAAAAGTTTAAATGTGTTGTGAAGTATTGAGAACCCATAGGTCACAGGGTGGGTACTAAAAATGTTACTCAGGCTGAGTAAGGCTCTTCTCTGGTTATATCATGTTTTAACTCACATGCAGTGGTATAAGAGATATTCTTTTTTTTCTCATTGAGTTTATTGGTACATTTTAGGTATACAGTACAGTTACATTCATCATTGGGATCTTGTACCTTTACGTGACAGGTCTTGGTTTTCATTTTTTCCCCTTTGTTTTATAGCAGTTACATCTCTTTGAAGAAACAATGTTTAGGAATTAGAATGAGTCTGAATCTTGAAATGTTTAAGTAGAATTTTAAGGGAGAACTTTTACAATGTCATTTTGTCACTGACCCTTAAGACAAAAACTCCATGATGATAACCATGAACCAATTTTGTTTTCTCCAACTTTTTCCATGCTCGCACTTGGACTTTACCAATAAAATGATTGTTCTTTTGGTATGGAGGATCAAACTCAGAACCTTGCACTAGTGAGGCAGATGGCAGAACCACTAAGTCCCTGACCCCTTAAAATACATTGAGTAAGAGATACATCTCTTTAAACCCACTCTTGGATCTATCCTGGTTTATCTTAATTTTCTTAATAATAAATGTTTTGATTAGCAAAACTTCCACTGTACCAACTGCTTTATAACCCCCCAGGAAAGGTTTAGGTGTCTATTATTTGTGTCCCCTCTTCCCGCAGTGCAGGCACTGAATGCAGGGCCTCATTCATACTAGGCAAATGTTCTACCACTTAGTCACATCCCCCACCCTTTTTAACTATTATTTAGAGACAAGATCTTGCTAATTTGTCCAGGATGGACTTGAACTTGTGATCCACTTGCCCCAGCCTGTAAGGGCATGTGCCATCATGCCCAGCTAGCCAGGCTTTTTAAGATTGCTTGCATGTTCTCAAAAGAAAAAAATAAATGTGAGCAAATCTTTTAACTTGACTTTTTGGTTGTGACAGGGTGAAATATATAAACATTATAAATTCAGTTTCCCCAAGAATTTAAAGGAAAACTAGTTTGTCAGTTTTAACCATCATGAAAGCAGTTTTCATAAAAGGTTACATCTGAATTATAGCAATATTCCCCTAAGTGTTGTTATCTTTTGCAAACTTCATTATTTCAAATGAATTTTGTGGTGATGTAGTGGAATGGGTTGACAGCCAGTTTTGACTGTTTTGTTAAAGATCTTTAGGGTACATTTATTTCCATTCACCTGTGAATTATATTTACAATTAGTATTTACCTTACCTGTTTTAGGAAGCTCACAAAGCTGTCATAGGTTAAGATCTTGCTTATTAAATACACTATTAAATATACTTAAATAACTTCCAAATGATTGCTACCAACATGCTTGTAGAGTATTCTGACTTTTCAAATATTTATTTTGTAAGCTTGTATGGTATTTATAGAAAGGAAGCAAAATAGTATTCTGTAAAGAATGGTGTTCATGGAAAATATTTTTTAACTTTATTTTTGTAGATGTGCCTCTTCATTTTCACCTTGAAACATTATTTAAAAACAATGAAATCAGAGGAGATCTTGCTGCAAATCAAACTGTAGGTGGCTGTATCTTATCACCATCACCTGGTATGTCACATTTACAAATCTTGTACTTCATGTTGCCTTTTTACAGCCTTCATACTTACTAGTTTTTTGTTCTAAGTAAATAAAATTTAACAAAATAAATATAAATTCCAAATTTTTAACATTTACTTTTTGCAAATCACACACAAACAGAAAGTACACAGGAGCTGCATATCATTTTTGAGGCCCTGAGTTTGATCCTCAACACTAGGAAAAAATGCATAAATGAAAGAAAATACACAGGAGCAATCTTTACAAATGTGTGTGATAACTACTGGATGAAAATTATGAAGCACAACTGATTAATAGAAACAGCATTCCTGTATGATACAGTTGATAAGGATATCCATTCTCTTTATAAGTTCATTTTTAATGCAATTTAACTTGAAGTTCTACTAGATTTGGTTAGCTTAAAATAATTCCATAGGCCCCTGAGAGGATTAAATAAGAAAATATAAAAGGAACTGCTAGAAAATTCAGCCTACCTCAACCATATATGGAAACATGACAAAACTCTGTAATAACTAGATTTTATTTTGCTTACATGTAGGAAGATTCATGAAATAACACTCCATAATTTGTAATTTATGACCTAGAAAGAATTGTGAATCAGAGGTGGAGAACCATTCAATAAACAGTATTGTTAAATTTTTCTGAGAAAAAAATTTAAATACTGTACTCATTTCATATCATGCATCAGAATGAATTCTAGTTGGTTCTAATAATTTTAAGATTAAAACTACATCATAAAACTTAAAAAGAAATTATAATGAAATGTTTATGATTGCCCCACAGGGTGTGAAGATATTATCTGTGCTTGGAAGTAATTGTAAGGCAGAAAAACATTAGCATATTTTGATTAGCTGCAAAGTGAAAATCTTCATAACATCCAAAAGTCATAAGAACTAAGACAAATTATTTCCAGATGAAATAACTACCTAAAAAATCTAAAAACTCAAGAGTCAAATGAATGTCTATTAGAACCAAAGTTTTATTATAAAAAATCAGCAGCGCTGTTAGCGATGGGGTAGGAAAGTCCTTGGTTCAATTTCCAAAACAAAAGAAATAAAATCAGTTTCTAAAAATATCACTAATGACTAGATAGAATTTGTAAAGAAATAATGTATGCTAGTCAGTGTGACAATGAAAATACAACATATCTCTGATTAAACTTAAGGATTTTCATAAAGAAAATGTCAGCAGTTCAGTGAAGGAGGGACACAGAACGATGTTCCTGTATGGAAAGAAATACTCCATTCTTGTTGAAAGCATTGTAACTTGCCAATTTTCCCACTTGTTAATTTATCAGTAGAATATAATTTGAATCAGAATCACAGAAATATTTTTTGAACAGTCATTCTGAAGTTTACACAAATAACTTTAGATTGACAATTAAAAATTGCAAAAGATCCGGAGACATATCAGATATCAAACTGTTATGATCATTAAAATAATGTGATACTGGTGGAAGCCAGATTAAGACTACATACAAAAAGCCTTGAGAGAGACTCAAAGGGTCTCTGTATGATATTGGTATTTTCCTATTGCTGTAGAAAGGGTGGTTTGGTCAATAAATATTCATGACAATAATTTTATGATGCATCCTTTCTATGCCAACATAGAAACTAGTTGAGAGATTTATATTAGGCAATTTTATTAATCTATGAGGTCAGTATTGTTACTATCCTTCAATAACCTTCCCGAATGACAGAGTAGTGGTAGCTGTGATTCAAACTCAAGCAGTCTGGCTCACAGTCCATGCTCTAAACCAACTTTCATCTGTAATCAGCAGCACTCAGTAATGATTAAATGAGATCTGTCCACTATAACAGCACATTACAATTTAAAATGGACAACACTAAAAAATATATTTCAGATGGACTGAAGAGTTAAAAATGAAGCTTGTATTAGAAGAAAAACCAGATGTGACTGGTAATAAAATGAAAATATTACCTAACATTTACTTAGATCTTGTGCCTATTAGAACTTAGAACTTTTGCCTATTATTATGATCAATTCTATAAAAAATTACGGTTTTAAAAAGTACTCTCAGGATTTAAGAATCAATTCAAGCCTTTTTGAAAGCACTGTGAGATACATTACAAAGCCTTTTAAGTATGTTTTTAATAAGATGACTTGTTTAATAAGATAAAATTATCTTGTTTACCTTTATATCTACTCAAAATTAATGTTGACTGAAAACTCTGTATTCTGACGTAATTATACCATTTTCTAGAATCTAATCCTACCAAATGTGAAACAAGCTTTTTACAAATACATTTATCTTACTATTTTTGTGATAGTGAAAAATAAGGAACAACTTGAAGAATGTAATAGGGGAATAGTTAATGTATTGTCATAGTTATGCAACCTTAAAAATCTTAAAAGTTCATGAAGACAGTCACACACTTACAAAAGGATATTGTGACAAAAAGGGATGCAAGCGTTTCACTTCTTGTATTTGATACAATTATAATCATGAAAGGATATTCCTCTTTTCAACCAAAGGCAATGTGTGGACCTTGTTGAGATTCTGATTTGAACAAAAGAGCTATATCTACACATGTACATACATTATACACATACTTTTAATCTAAGAAATGTGAACATGAACTTGTAAATATTAATGTATGATTAATTTTTCATATGTAATAAGGCACCATGATTACCTACACATATGTTGTAGTTTATTACTGGTTCACACTGACATACACAGATGAAAAGATAATAGCTGAACGACAGGTACACGGGAATTCATTATTTTAGTCTCTTTTATTTTTCCACAGTATAAAGTTAGAAAAAAAAAAAAAGCACCAAAGACTAGGAACAACTAGCTATGGCTAGTGGAAGACAGACTAAAAAGCACTGGGAAGTATAGATTATGTTTATATATCTTTTCATGATGTAATCCTACTCATTTGGGTTGATACTGAGATTAAACTTTGTTTAAAGGCAAAACACATTATCTGTGAGCATGATTATATTAAGAATCTCCCTAATCGCAATAATTTCATTATGATATTGATGATAACTATAATGTCCAACAGCTATGGAATACCCAAATGATTATGTCTCTAATCAGAAAAATGTACAGCAACCACATGCAGAAATATTGAACAGTTATGCGATAAAAAGTTATTTTATCCTAATTAAAATTATGACTTAATATTTAAAATGTATATGAAGTATGAAATGTACAGGCATGTTTATGATTGAAAATGTGTGCAAAAGTGAAAGTACATTGTGTGTTAGAAGTTAAGATGACTGTATTTCTTCTAATGTTGCTCTATTTATCTAACTTAAGATGAAGCAATGTAAATATGTCAGGCATAGAACTTGTACTCTCAATCATGTAATGATACATTACATGCCACACTGGAATAGAAGGGGTAAGGATAACAATGGAATACACTTGAGATGAAGGCTGCACTATCGTTAGACACATCAATAAGGTATTCTTTTGTATAACATCCCCATACAGAGGTTTTATCCTCTGTATCTGTCCAAAATAGCTCGCCACTGACATTTAGTGATTTCTACAGAAATAAATACAACTAGAGTTTAATATTTTGAGAATTTTGGGCCTTGTGATTCTGCATTCTAACAAGGTCGAAGGAGATTCAGATGCTATTGGTCCATACTGTGCGACAAGGTTTTAATAATGGACAGAAACATTCATCACAAAGACCTACAACAGTTTGGTGTGTTCAGGTATCTACAAATAGCTTGGTATTCCTGCACAGTAAACTGCATGAAGGAGAGCAAACAGATCCTACTGTGCTTTGCCAGAGAGTCTGGGTACAGCCTAAATTATCTGTTAAATTTTGCATTTATAGTGACACTGTTGACTTCAGATAAGGAAATAGGGAAAAGTCACACTGTAGAGGTAAGGAGTAAGTACACGATTAGCCTCAACATGAGGAAACACTGTTCAAGACAAAACCAATCCAAGGGTATTTATAAAAATATTAAAGGTTATGAAAAATGACAGTGCAACTGTTGCAGATATACAACTATAGAGAGACCTGGAAACTAAATGCAATGAATGATTGGAATTGTCTACAGAGAATTTTATAGGGATAACTGGTAAAATGTGAACATTTACAGATTAGCTAATGGTGTTAATTTATGACAACTGTGTGGCTTTGTAAAAGAATGTCACTTTTTGAGAAATACACATGTAATCTATATAAAAGAGCCTCGTGTTAGAAACGAGTACAGAAAGAAAGAGGTAAAACAAATGTGATAAAAATCTTAACTTTGGGGGAATCTGAGTAAAGGGGACATGAAAAGACCAAGTTTTTTCAAAGTTTAATTTTGTTAAGATTTGAGAATGGATAGAAGAGGAGGAACAAGGGAACTATAACCAGTATACGATCCAAAACTAAAGGTAAAGGTCTCATCCTTTACCCACAGTCCCTCATATCTAATCAACAGTTTGTCGATATCATCTATAAATGTTTCAAATCTGTATTACTACAATAGTCTAGCATAACGGTATATACTGCTGAAAGAGACTACAAAGTTTTATTTCCCTTTGACCATTATAGCCAGTGATCTTTACCAGTGCAATCTAACTGTCATACCTGCTCCCTGCTCCTATCCTTTTAAGACATCTGAGGGAATATTCTTGAGGCCCCAAAGCCCTCCCTACACAGGTGACTCCTAGCCGCTCCTGGATCCTTTTCATTGCCTTCCCTTCTTCTACACTACATAGCTACTGTTCAGTTCTCAGATTTGTCGCACTGCCTTGGCCTTTCTACAAGCTGTGGTAAACAGAAGGAAGAATCTTCTGGGGTGTGCTTAAACTCCAGCAAAATAACAGAAGCTCTACCACGGGTTACCCCTCCAGCACTCATAGGGATCCTCAAGCCATCTGTTTTCCTCCCCACCTAACATCTTTGATTGGTAGGAAATCTTTGGGGCCGTCTTAGAATTCCTACCTACCATTTTCCCTAGCTATGCAAGTTACTGTTTTCTTACACCAAGTTTCACTCTGTCAACTGAAGCCTCATTTCTCTTACCATTTTAACCATCGTCTTGTAACTTTCAAAGTAACTTCCTCCCATGATGTGTTACATGACTGATTTTTCTGTTTTCATTTGCTTTAACACTGTTCAAGTGAGTTCTCTAATTATCAGGGCTAATTCTGGAAAAACATTTGGCTATTTCTTCAGTTACTCTTCACTCTATCCTCTTACCCCACTTCATTATTTTCCTCATATTTTCCATCACTGTTACTTCAAATTGTCAACTTTTCTTCCAGGCCCAATCTCAATTTCCCGTATCTGTTACTCATCTTAAGTAATGCTGCTTGTTTTTAGTTGAGTAATTATAGTTTTATAAGATTTCTGTAGAGAGTCCTCTTGACTTTTCTTTATAACGTTGGTTGTTTTAAAGACTTGTTCATTTGTATTCTATAAATGTTCCAACAACTATTTCTTGAGAGGGTTCTTCGACTTGTAGTTTATGAAGCTGCTATTCAAGATTTGTAGATTTTGTGCACTCATCTTTGAGGTTGATATTCCCTGTTAAGAAGACTCTTCTACTGCTACACCAGTACTGGAAATATGAGGTCCAGATAGACATTATTCATACTGATAAAAAACATTTATTAAGCACTTATTACTCCAGACACTAATTCCTTTACTGCGGGAATTAACTCATTTAGTCTTCATAAGCCCAAGATAGTTATTATCCTTGTTTTAAAGATAAGGAAACAGGTATAGTGACTCATTAAGTATCTGAAAATTGTTTTAAATTCATTGTTTAAAAGAAAAATGTAAGAAGCCAGGCATATGGCAAATGCCTATAATTCCAACACTTGGGAGACAGAGGCAAGACTACTTACTCTGAGTTCAAGCCCAGCCTGAACTACAAGTGTGACCCTGTATGAAAAAAAGGAGGCTGTGTGTGTGTGAATTTTTAAAAAGTATGACATAATACTTTTACTTTGAAATCATCTCTGGCTACCACAATAAAATTTAGAAAATATTCACTAAACAAAGTCTGGTTCTTCCTCTCAGGAAGTCCTAGTCTGTTGTGACCATAGTGGTTGGATTTTTCCTGGTCCTAAATTATTCCCAGATTTTAAGGTAGGCAACTTTAGGGTTCAGATCATATTCAACCAAGAACTAATCTAGAATACTCTGAGAAGACCACCTTACTTTTACATCCTCTCAAAAACAACAACAACAAAAACAAAAACAAAAAGCCAAACAAAATCGAGCAAAACATAGCAAACTGGGCACTCTTTGAGAATGTTTTTAAGGAATCCTATTACATGTAGTTTTAGTTTAAGAGTTGTTCATCTTGATATTTCACTGGTATCTTAAAATCCGATACTATATAACTTAAAACAGATGAATATGTTCATTATCTATTTGTGTTAAGAAACCAAAACCTCACATTTCCTTCTCATTTGTTTTAGTGCAGAGTACTTCTTTGAATCAATGGAGAAATGGATATTCACCTATGTGTAAGCCTCCAATAAGGTCAGAATCTTCTATACAACTATTACAGGGAAGAAAGAAAAGACATTTGAGTGAAACAGCAATAGGTAGGTTAAAATGGGTATATATGTTCATTAGTGTTAAACATTAAAATAAAACTTTGGTTTCAGAGAATCCCTGAATCACGAGTACCTATAACCCAAAACAGTCACTAATCACACAAAACATCTATGACCCTATGAACATATTCATGTAGCTGATTAACAGTTTGTAGACTTAGTATCTATCCACTTTGTGGCAATTAAGAATTTCTTCCTATGTTCCCTGACTAATTTTATTCTATGAACTGTTGTGTGGATAGGATTTAGACTCCAAGGTTATTCTGGATTCAGAATGGGTCAGTACAAGATTGCCTTTCAGAAATTTATCACCATTTAAAAATTCTTCAGGATTTTAAGAAAGAGATCATGATTTAACTGAGGTGCTCAACTATCTTGTTCGGTTCTCCTTAGAGGTCTTTAAATGTAAAGCTTCAAAATGACCAAGAGTTAGCAAAGCGTGTTTCTTTGTGGGGACATAGAGGAGGCAATCACTGCTGTTATTGTCAATGATAAAACTGGCAAGATATTTTGATTAGCAAGTTCTATCAAGTATTCCCCAAATGTAATATCAATAGCATACCCAATAAAGTAGAAACTAATTACATCCATGATGCACTGAATTAAAATTATACAGAATGGGTTTCATATTCATCTCTAGTGTCTACAGAAATGTCACCAAAAACAGACCAAGTAGACTGACTGTGACAGAAAATGAACCAACCCCCATGTTTCTAGATATTTCACTATTCCCTTTGTCTCACTCCTAAGCATGACCAAGAATCACCTAGCTTTTAAGGAACTTTCACACATGCATACCAAAACATAGGAAAACTCTCTTGAATAAGATGCATTATGAAATACATTCCCTAAGATATAAATAATACAGTGTTTCACTAGAATTGATCATTAGATCCAATTTCAAGTTTAATGCAGATACTGTACAAGGAAAAGAACAAATGAAATGATATAAGAACAAATGAAATAAATAATTACATAATTTGCAAAATCCAGGACATATGGTCTAGTCCATGTAACAAGTGATGTCATGAAAAATGAACTATTCTAGATTGTAAGATGGCCTAGGAGACAATAACCAGTTTCATTCTGAGGATCCTGATTCAAAGAAACTAAGTCATAAAGGATATTTTTTAAACAAGTTAAGAAATGTAAATGTGGCCTGGTTATTAGATTACACAAAAAATATTCTTGTTAGGTTTCATAATGAAGCAAAACAGGCAATGGCAGTAAATAAATGCATAAACAGGGATTGAAAAAAACAGAAGGAACTTGAAAAAAAAACATGTGAATAAAAGTAAACATCTAATCAATATCCAGACAAATTTCATCCATGAAATGCTATAAAAAATGAACAGCAGACATCAATTTTAGTCCATGTGCTGCCGAAGCAAACACAAACCAGACATCAAACTTTCAGAAATTTTAGTTGTAGAAACTTTTTCAAACCTCAAGAGTGTTCAGAAAATCAAGTTAAAGAAATCTCAGAGAAAAGAGAAAGTCAGATATGAACAAATGAGAGAACAGATAAGAAAATTATGATTAGTCCTGACATGCAACTACTACTATTGGTAGTAATCACAGAAAGCAGAAGACATGATAGAGCAGATGGTATTACTCAAGGAATAATATGAAATGTACTGGATTAAAAAAATAAACCACAGGGCCAGGGATTTAGCTCAGTGGTTCGGTGGCCTTGAAAGCTCAAGGACCCAAGTTCAATCCCTGATACCAAAAAAAAAAAAAAACAAAAACCCACACACACACAAACCCAAGATCCCAGAAAATAGAAATACTTTATATAAAGCAAGACTGGATAAAGTTCTTCATTTACAATTTCATTTTGCTTACTTACTGATATATGAATTTAAAAAACCAATAGGGAAACAGTTAGCACCTAATCGGGAAAATAATTCTGATAATCTTGACCATGTTTAACGTGTGACATTCTGAATGGTTCTTTCCATGGCAGGAGAAAGGGATAGATTTGAGGAATTTGCTTTCCAACACACAGAACCAGGATCACATTGCAATTTTACTGCTGTCTCTAATTTCAATGTTATAGGAAGAACCCCGAATTCATCATCACAAGTAGGTTTTTGTTTTGTTTTGTTTTGTTTAGATTGAACTCTAAAATTGCTTTATTTTGAAATAAAATGAAAATGGCCTGCAGAATTATTCTGTTAATCTTTATCAGCCTTATTTACTAGCACGTTTAGAACTACCTTACTAGGAAGCTGTAAATTTGGTTAGAAAAGACATTTTTACCTAGAAGCTAAGAGTTTATTAATAATCTTTGGTTATGGTTTCTTTTTCTGTTAAAAACATTTATCATAGCTATCTCTACTCTGTAACGTATGAATTTAAATATAGTTTTTGCTAAAGAGAATTCAGGATTTATGTTGCTAATCTGTTTTGTTTGTCATATGGTCAGGGACTTGAGAGGTCCAAAGGTGAGAGATTTAGAAATCAATGGTCTGAATGACGGTTGGGGACAAAGGAACACATAAATGAAGCTCGTAATAATTACCTTTACTGAAGGGTTCAAACCTTTCCTAATAATAAGCTATGTTTGTGCATATAAATATATACCACACACCCACAGAGGTTTGTTTTAATTTACAAAATATAGGCATGCATTTTTAATTGGTAACATTTTATAATCAGATTTTATAACAATATATTTATAAAAACTATCCCACAGATATACAGCACATTATCTTTTTTATAACAAATGAAAGAATATCACCACAGATAACTAGATACTACTGTAAAGCAGTACCATAATCCTGTTTTGCAGAGTACTGCACGGCGGAGGTTAAGAAGTGAAAGCTCTTATGACATAGATAACATTGTGATTCCTATGTCATTAGTAGCCCCAGCTAAGTTAGAAAAACTCCAATATAAGGAAATACTGACTCCAAGGTATGTATACTTACCTGACAACTGTTCTTTCTTCTTCAATAAACTGAAATGTGGAGTAAAGTTAGAATTTTAACTGAGATGTTCCCCTTCTTCCCACCCCACTTGTAGAGTCATGGAGGGAAACAGGTGAAGAAAACTTTACTTACTCATGCTAGAAAAAAATGCCATGTGTTATCACAACTTTACTTCTTATTTTTAAGAAGTGATAATTTCTAGACTGATTTACTTTAGCAATGTCTTTTTTCAGTTGTAACTTATGTATACAGCATGAAAAGATACGTTAGTGATGTTTAAAACTATAGTAACATATGACACCTACATTAAAAGCTAGTTACACATGAGGTTGCAAAGAGTTAAAGAAAGGAACTCAGTTTACACATTATATCATACTCCAAGATAAAACACGTGATAAGGAAAATAAGATTTTGATATACTGCCAAGTGAGCATTAAACACATTATCTAGAAATATGAATGGAAAAGACTGAGAGGATATCCATGAGGTTAAAGAGGTAATTTTTACAGGGAGATCATAAAAAAGGCAGACAGACAAGTGTATAAGGCTTAGTTATACTGAGGTTTTGGCAAAGGTTAATAAAGGGAGTTAAGGCTGGAAAAGAACCAGACTGTGGAGGTCCCTGAATGCAATTCACAGATCTTCTATAGGCAGTGATATTAGCACAATTTTTAGTGATGAAGAGTTTAAAATTTATGACTATGACACCAGAAAGTAGACACAGAAATGGCTGGATATTAAGAAATGAGTCTTGTAATAACAAATAAAGTTAATTCCTACCTATCTCTATTTTAATTTCATCATTAATTTTATTTCATTCATTACTATATTAAGAGAAGTAATCTTAGAAAGTATTATGAGAGCTGATATATAGAGAATGTCCAATTTTTCTTCAAAAATAATCATTTTCTCACCAAAAAAAAAAAAAAATCAGAAGATGGTACAAATCAAGTCTTTTTTCTCCTTATTGGCCAAGCCAGTTTATTGGCATATCACTGACTGAATTCAAAGTCAGTACATAATTATGACATATAAAGGGTAGCTACATAAGAGATGGTCTGTTCACTCTAAGGTAAAAAGTAAAGACTTCTCATCCTTTTCTCATAGTACAAATACCCTTTCTCTTTAAGTAAAGTATTAAAATAACGACCTGAATTATGGACTTTCCAAGGACAGAAACTAATATATTTAGCTATACCTAGAGAATAAAATTGCTACGTTTAGAAAGATTAATAAAAGCTGTTTGAAATGGGTTTGTTATCTTCAACAGCTGGAGAATGGCTGTTCTTCAGCCTTTGGATGAATGTAACTTAGGTGAAGAGGTAAGCTACCTTTCATTTAATAGGAGAACTGCACTTTACATATTATGATGCATGCTTAATTTGACATTTAAGGAACTAAAAGGGAACACAAATCTTTTAACTTCTACTAATTTTTTTCTTTACACTTATAACAAGGAAGCTTTTGACAAAGGATATTAATGCTACTAAAATGTTTCTGTGCATATTTGAGTACCAAAGTAACAATTATAATGGAATTATTTAAATGAATTGACACTGAATTTATTTTGAGAGCTACATTTATCTTGGTAGTAGTCATATTTCTCTGTACAAGGAGACTTAGTATCAAACTATTCATATCTGCAATGCCATTATAAAAATATTAGGGTCAATTTGCTTTACAATTTGGAAGATTTTAGACTTTAGAAAGACAATGTGATACATATGTCATGTAACACCACTGCAGTCGAAGACAGTGCTGTAGTCAAATATGCACGGGAAATGGGATATACATTAGAAATAATCTCACTCTGTTTTAGATCAAACTGTGTGTGAATTGTATGAAAAACTAGTTTTTTTCAGATTTTTGGATTTGGGGATTTTAGGTAAAGGACTGGGGACCTGTACAGATAAAATTACATTAAGAACAATTACAGGGGAAAACTCATCACTTCAAAGTGATGGTCTGTGTAGAAGCAGTATAGAATACTGTAGAAAATAGTTGGTTTCTGTCAAATAACTGTCTCTGTCCAGCATTCAGATTTTTCATGAACCAGATTTACCTTTCCTTTAATGCCCTTTCCACTTCTAAGGCACTCTTCCTGATTCAGTGATCCTGGCCAGGAAACTCAAACTCCTATACACCATGGCTCAAACAGTTATCTAGATTAGAATCTGAGATAAGTATTAAATAAATTCTGGTTTATCTCAGACAACAGTTCATATTAACAAGTTCTAAGAACAATGTGTGTTCCGTAATGGAAAACCAATGAAAACTGTGATGAATGATTACAGCATTGAGGATATTTTCTGTAAGGTTTAGCAAGTTCGAAGCCCAACCCATTTGTAATCTAGGTAAGTCTTCAAACATGAGTCCAGAGTGAAGAGTTTAAAAAAAAAGTTTCCAGCTGGGCATGGTGGCACATGTCTATAATCCTAGCACTCAGGAGGTTGAGGCAAGAAGGTTGTTGCAACTTTGAGGCCAGTCTGGATTACATAGTGAGTTTAAGACCAGCCTGGACCACAAAGGGAGACCCCCCGCCCCGCCAAAAGTTCCAGAATCCCATTGGAGATTAATCTAACATTTGTTTTCTGGACTGACACTAACTGCATTTAGTTTGCTTGCTGTTGTTCTCTAGATGAGGACACTTTGAAATCTGTGTCATATTTCAAAATGTTTCCCATAAAAGCAAACTGTTTTTCTAATTCCAGGTAGAAGATTTTTCTGATGAAGTCTTTGCTCTAAGGCACAAAAAATATGAAGAGAGAGAGCAAGCCAGGTGGTCACTATGGGAACAAAGCAAGTGGCACAGAAGAAACAGCAGGCAAGTATTTTAAACTGAAAACCCAAAACTACAGGATCCATATGGAATGAACAAAAACTTCATGAAGTCTGGGTGACACCACTAGAAAGGATAACGTAAGCACAGTATGGAATGTCAGCTGTTTTTGTCCTAGCATGTGCTGTCACACACTACATATACTAAGCTTATATTTAGGCCGATTATATAATGATTAGAGAAGTTTCTGTTATTTTGCTCTATTTCTCATGAAAACTCTACAAATAAAGTAGGCTAGTGGACCCAACAAAGGTGTGGAATTCAGGTCGTCCATTTTAACATGCAGTATTTCAAAAATAGTATTTTAAAACAAAATTTCTCAAGAAATCTCTCGTCTAAAAACCAAATAATCTAAAAAACTTTAAAAAACATTAACAGATCTTAGAGAAGGGACAATAAACAAACATATTTAGTAGTTAAAGATTTGAAAGAATCCCTGGCATTTTACACTACTTATATTTATTATTTTTTGGTACTGAGGATCAAACTTGGGTCCTTGTGCTTGCGAGGCAGGCAGTAGAACCAATGCACTAAATCCCCAGCCCTAAATTTAATTATTTTTAAATGGTCAAAACTCAAAAAGCAAGATAATATGAAGTCTGCCAGTCACTTTAGTTAAGGGTTATCTGTCATTTAATTAGTATTATTATAAAAAACCTTGTTCTGTACAGGTCTCAAGATACCTAGATTTGCTGTAATCCTCGTTCAAGTTCTCCTTACAAAGATGAGATCAAAGATTGTTGAGGGTCAAGGAATTGCCCCCATTTGTCTTCCAAAACACAAAAAGCAAACCAAATTATGTAGCAAAAAACTCACTAGAATAATTTGGCAGACTAGTGAAGTAGTATGTAAAAGCCTTTGAGATATGAAAATAGCATCAGGAAGATGAAAAATGATTTTTTAAAGAACTTTTATACAGAACTGTTTAAATAAAAACCATCAAGCTGACTTAGTGATACCTTGGTTCACAAAATGTTAAGATCTCAAGAGATAACAAATAGTATTTATTTTCTTGCTAGAGCTTACAGTAAAAATGCTGAAGGACAGGAGATGGTTCTAAAGGAATCCCTGAATGACATCAGTGGCAGTCAGCACTGCACTGCTCCAAGTCCCCCTGAGTTGCCTGCAGCACATCCTGACTTGTGTGCACACGGCTCACCCTTTTCAAATGAAAGCCAAGAGTTCAAGGTACATGTATGATTCACTTCATTGCCTTTTTTTTTTTGGTACTGGGGATTGAACTCAGGTCCTTGTGCTTGCTTGCAAGTCAGGCAGTGGAACCACTGAGCTAAATACCCTGGCCCTTCACTGCCTTTTGGCTTTTTAAAATATTGATGTGGAGAAGTTGCTTACGGCAAATTTAGTTTGATCACTGAGTGTCTAGCTGCTGGGTAAGAATCAGATCTGTACTGCAGATCAGTCACTGTCGGCAATCATTTTATTGTGTAGAATGTCAGCACCAACTGCCACCTGCTTACTTACCTAGTAGGGAATGGGCATGCTACTGAAAGCAAACAATTTTGACTAATGGAGGACAGCAGCTGGTATGCAGTAAATGTCAGCTGCTATTTCTCTTCCTCCTCTTGTATTTTTTTTTTTTTTTTTTGATACTGGGGATTGAACTCAAGACCTTTCACTTGAGAGGCAAGGGAGGCACCACTGAGCTAAATCCCCAGCCCCCTCCTCTTTTATGTCCTTACTTGTCACCTCATAGAGGTAATTCTTACCTTAAAGGTAGTGCTTTTTAATACTGCATCCATTGTGCACTTTTCTTCATAATAAATAATGCCAAAAAAAGAACCAGATCTAGAAGGGAAAATGGAGTTTATGAAAGGAAATTAATAGACACATTGCAGAAAACTTAAGGAAGAGTCAGTGGGAAAGGGGCTTTCCTAGAGTATACTCCAGCTGAAAATGAAGACCAGTGCCCTGTTGGTAGCATTTCCTCTTCCTGACAGTGGCAAAGAGAAGAAATAATTCACCAGTCACTAAATTCCCAGAACGCCCCATTTGAGTTATACAGGTCCACATGAAAACATATACATTTACATGCTAAAAGAACAAGGCAATGGTTAGGAAATTATTACAAATGAATTTAAACAAAACAAATTGAAACTTAACTGAAAAAGTTTTCCCTTTCAGTCTTTGTGGTGGGAACGACGGGCTTTTCCGCTGAAGGATGAAGACACAGCAGCCTTGTCATGCCAAGATGAAGGAAAGGAGCAGCCCGAGAGGCCAAGTGCAGCTTTCCATGGCGAAGTCTTTGGTACCAGTGCATCAGAGAACAAACACCATCCAAAAACTCAGTTAGATGGGATGGAAGAATATAAAGCCTTAGGTCTAGGACTTACTAATGTTAAAAAAAATAGGTGACAGGGAACAGGTTAAGAAAACTATGTAAATGAAGGAAAGATAGGAGAAAAAAAAAGCGGTGTGTTGGACCTTCCACATCTTTGCGTCCCAATTCCAGAATAAGAGAATGGACTGCATGTATTCATCTTTTATGCTACCTACAAAACAGGCAAGATAAACATCTTTTTTCTTCCTGAAGCACAGAAGTAGCTAGTTAGCTTTTTACCTGTAGACAAATGTTCATCATTTGTATTTATCATACAAATTACAAGCACCAATATATTAACTTTTGCAATTTGATGTCCAATCACATTACCGCATAATTTTTAACATCACACACCACACAGACACACAAACACACACACACATACAGACACACACCCACACATAGAGCCATGCATCAAATGATTCTTTTTTCTATTCCTATGACAATTCACTGAAATTCCCTCAAATATACTGGAATATATACGTGTATATACAGTATATACACATATATACATACATGCACATAAGCATAGTTTTAAAACCGCACTGGCAATGAAAATGCATGTTTGGAATACACTACAAAATGTCAGCTATAATATAAAGCACGGGTCTCTGCTGAGGAAAGACACTTTTGAGTTTGACTATGGAGAGGGAGTAGTTCTGGATTTGTTTTTCACATGTTTACACAAGAGTCATTTAGGGAAATTCTTCTGTTAGGTAACAATTCTCATTTATTCAAATGCTGTTAACTGCTAGGTTAACCACAGGGCACTGTTTACTCCTAACAGGGAAGACAAGCAAACTGGTGTTAATTATCAGTGCAGTTTTTAACAGTTACATCTTTGAAAACTCAATATGTTTTGCCTATATTATCTTATATATCTCATGAAGAAAAATCAACTTAAAAATGTGGAACAAACAGGAAAGTCCTTCATTATACCGTTTTTTAGAGTATTGTAATTCTAGTTTATTTGGTCCTTCAATGCTGTAACTATTCAAATAAAAATCTATTTTTAGTTGCATCCTAGATTGAGAATGAAATATTCAAAGGACAATACTTCATTATTAGATATTAAGGAGCATACATTAAGAAGATTCCTTTTGAAATTATTATACTTTTTTTTTCCTAAGTGAAAGTTAAGAACAATTTGTATGTATCCATGTAACTGAAAATTCTGGCCATCTGCCCATGGCTATCAGACTTAACAGTAAGTTTTTGTTCCAGATTGGAAATTATATTGTTCCTTTTGAAGGAAAAAACAACTTTCAATTCAATACTGACAAACTTCTGCTTGTAGTTTTACTGTACATTTATTTTTAAAGAAAAAAAAACCCAAAAAACCAGACAAACCCAAGTTGTCCTGGTAAATAAATTCAAATCTTTGTCATATCTATTATATAATCTTCCATGTAAGTTTTTTAATTAAAGTTATTTCTGTATGCCTTGTGTGATAGAATTAAATGCTACTTATTCATAGCACATGTTCCTCCTAAACCAAAATTAAAACAATACCAAGAAACACATATTTACACACAGTGTAGGAAAAAAACCTAACCAAGTTCTATTCCATCCCTAATGTAAATACTTTGAATCCTGTCTCTTAAGAAATTTAATACTGGTACCATTGCTTCTTGCCATATTTATCACAGAGTATTTATAAAAATACAGTACCCGACACATATCTGTAGTTTCTACATAACTGGGAACACAGCTCAGAGTAACTTAGTTCGTGGATGAATTTTGTAGCCCGTCATCTCTGCCTAGCTGGTCTATCTTGGGATAAACTATATTCTTTGGGTCAAGAACCAGAGTTACAGAATATTTTCAGCCATTTGATGCTCTTACAGGGTAAAGTCAGACTGAAAATAAGACAGTGTTAAGTAAAAGAAGCTTCTTTTGTCTAACTCACCTCCTAAGGGCCCTTTCTGATTAAAAGAGGTGGGCAGAGCCCTAGATCCTACCCTACTAGACTGTTCCCATGGTGCCACCCTACTGCTGAACTTTACTTTCTTCATTTTCAAAATGGAACAAAAATGCCTATTCTACCAATTACAGGAATAATTTATAGGTTTAATGAGACTATATAAAAATACTCTATAAACAACAAAACATAAACTCATGTAATGTTAGCCACTTTTATGTTGAGCATCCTCTAAGTTCTACAAATAGTATTGTAAGCTTTACCTGCATGGTTGTTACAGTTATGGGATATTCAACATTTAAGTGAGTTAGAAGTACAAAAAAGATGGGTGGTTTGCTAAGGTCAAACAGCTAGAAAGGGACAGAGTCAGAATTCATTCAACACAATGGAAATTCCAAATGAAGGCTTACTTTTCCTTTCTGTACAGAGCTAACAGAGCAGAATTCAGCACTCTCAAGAATTGCGGGTGAGATTTAAAGAACAAGGAGCTGGAAGGAATCACTGAATAGCCTGCTTTGACGATGCAAACATCTTGATAAAACCCGCATTTGCATTTTAGAATCCCTGGGTTTCATACACTGCTTTTATCATTTTTAATGAACTGAGTAGATGAAAGTGAAAAATCTTCCTTCCATGCAAGACTATGGCTTGCCATCCCACCCAAGCTTGTACGTTTTAGTTCTACTCTACTCATATCATCAAGTTTATAAACAAATCAGAAATACAGTATGAATTAGGAAAAACAAAGATTCCCTTTGCTTTTACAGAACGGCTGATAAACAATAGAACATTCCTTTTTTAAAAAAAATTTTTTTCATAGAAGTTAATATGCCCTCCTTAGGCAGTAAGACACATTTGTTTATAACTTTAATAGCCGTATTTTTATGCTATAAAAATCAATTCTCCCATAAAAACGGTATTTCACTCTAATCTGTAAATTGTATCACTAAAATATAGGTAATACCAAGTTCTAACCTCTTAGAACATTCTGTACAAAAGATTTGAATCACTGGAATAATTGCTCAGGAAAGCAGCACTGCCTCAATTGTGATGTGATCTGGTAGTCTGTGTTCTTGTTTTCCAGTGAAAAGGTTTCATGAACATAAACACTGGGTTTCTTGTGGTCTCATCGATCAAGAGAACGTTTCTGAGCAGCTTCTGAACAAACATTTCTTAGTAAGTTGATCACAGATCTGGGATCTTCACTCCTCATAATGGCGCTGCCAGACACAATCATGTTAGCTCCTGCCTGGAAGAAGTGAACACTTAGGTTATGTCTTAAAGAAGCACAACAGCCTGCAGCAATTCTTGGACTACAGTTTCTGCCATTGCCTTCAAAGCTGCTCTGAGGTGAGCACACTAAAGCAATCTAATTCAATGAGGTAGAAAGTTAAAATGTTTAAGAATGAAAAGATAGTTATTTTAAACCCATCTAAGAAATCACTGAACTTCTAGTTAAATCCACTCTAAATAAACTATGCAGTATCTTTGCTAATATTTAGATAAGGCTCTAAACCCTTTAAGATTTTTCCCAATATATACCAGTGTTCCTCCATATACTAAAGAAGCAAGCTATTATTAATCTTTGAATTAATTACATAAATTTGTGAATAATCTGAAAGGATGATTATTGTGCGAATGTGAAACTATTCATAAGATACTGGCAACATTAAACAACATCATTTTGTGTTAGGAACAATGGAATATTTATGCCTCTTTAGCAATCTAGAACACTAGAAAGATTTTCAAGATGGTATTTTAGAAGCAATGAAAAAAAAAAAAGAAAAACAGAGACCTTTAAATTCACCTCTGAGTGTCCCAGGATTCAAAAATCTAAGAGATTTGCAAGATGGTTTTTTAGAAGCAATGAAAAAAAAAAAAGAAAAACAGAGACCTTTAAATTCACCTCTGAGTGTCCCAGGATTCAACTTAAGGAGAGAATCCCAATCTGTTATTCATTACAAGATAGGGGAGAGAACCACAAACAGACCCTGCCATAGGCCAATAATGTGAGATCTCCAATATTCTTTATAGAAGTTAGAAAAGCAAGTTATTATAAGGTACCACTTAACATGTCTCTTTATTGGAGCAAGAACAGCATGATAGCAAAGCACAGTTCAGTATAAAGCAATTCCACAAGGGACACATGAATATATGCTCAATAATCATCTGGGCAGTACTCGCCTCCTCACTTATTGCTGCCAAGCTTTGGACAGGTAGGTGTCAGGGAGAAAAGTGTGCCTGTTATAGAAGAACCTGGAAGTATAGATATACTATACTGCTGAATAAAAGCAGGTCATGCAGACAGGTGTGATGGTGCACACCTGCAATCCTGGCACTCAGGAAGCTGGGGAGGATTCCAAGTTCCAGGCTAGCCTAGACTCCATAGCAAGACCCTTTCTCAAAGAACCGTGTACCCCACGCCCCACAAAAGCAAGTAGGCCATGTAAGCAAAAATCGCCTCCAGTGGCATATGAAGGGTGACATCCTTTTATGAAGCTCAGGAGCCCAACTAAACCAGCTATGTGAAAACAAAACAAAGCAAAACAGATATATGTCATTGCCACCAAAAGGTCAAATGGGTATCAGGCCTAGATATTTAATACCCCACGCCCCACAAAAGCAAGTAGGCCATGTAAGCAAAAATCGCCTCCAAAGCAAAACAGATATATGTCATTGCCACCAAAAGGTCAAATGGGTATCAGGCCTAGATATTTATCAAAAATTGTTCAGTTCTTCCAAGTGACAAATAGATAGAACTGGCATTCAACATTCTCCTCTTGCATTAATGAACATTACTGAAATAACCACAATTTACATTTAAGAATTTATGTCATTTTAGAAATTCACTTATTGCTGTTTTCCTAATTTTACATTTGGACAACACCAACTACAAAAAATACTTTCCCAAGAAAGAAAGTCATCTTAGGAAATGAGGGAAATATGTTTGACCCACCAGACAGTGACAGTTGTTATGTGACTGACAGGAAACATGTCCAGCCACAGTCAAGCAGCAGTCTCACCTCTGCACACTTATGGACAGTGTCAGGACCTACGCCACCATCGACCTCTATATCCAGAGATGGAAACTGGGTCCTCAACCAGTGAACCTAGACACATATGAACAATTCAGTGACTCCTAAACAGGAATGTGGGGGAAAAAACAGCCCAAGTAGGCAAAAACTCAAATAATTTTATTAGCTAGCCACTAAAACACCAAATCTCTCAAACAAAAGCTATTATCAGTACAAACAATATTTTTTTTCTTTTTATTGAGTTTATTGGTACAATCTAGGTATACAATACAGTTACATTCATTACTGGGATCCTGTACCTTTACACCACAGGTCTTGGTTCTCATTTTTTCCCCTTGTCCCTGCCCTCCCTTCACCCCTCCTCCCCTCCCCGTTTGTAAACACTTTATTTCCATTTTTTCATTTTCTCATATTTTTTTTTATTTTCCCTTATTCCCTCTCCCCTACCCTTCCCACTTTCCCTACACCTTTAGCCCTTTTCTTCCTATTTCACACTATTAATAATCCCATTAGGATCTTGTGTACTATTACAGTTTTTCACACCAGAGAGACTATTCGGTATAGTACAAACAATATTACAACACATGCTTTGTAATGTATGGAAATGAATTAAGCTTTATAAAAGGGAGCTTTTTTCTGCCTGGCAAAAGGCACTTGCTTTGCCATAGTTCTGCAGAGCCTAGACTGCACGAGAACAAGACAAAGGCAAACCATTGATACTCGATGAAAATCCCAAGATATCTAGAGGCTACAGAGATAAAGATTTCTAAAGGAAATTTCCCAATAGGCATATCATACCAGTTGTGCACTCAAACTCTAAATTTGTGAGAGCTATTCATCCTGTATTAAAATGAGGCAGGCATCCCTGTTCCTCACCTCCCTAATAGGACACGTCTCCACAGACAAGTCTTTCAATATATGCTAACTGAATAAACACAGCATCAAATCTCTTTGTTACCTTTGGCATCATGTCTTCCATGAATTTCTGTCCTCCGAACCCAGGCTCTACTGTCATGACCAAGGCCATATCAATTTGATTTGCCCATGGTGCCAAATACTCAACAGTAGTTCCGGGTTTGATGGCAAGGCCAACCTGTAACAGAGATAAATCTGCTACATCACATTAACACGTATCTCCCTATGTTACTGTGGCATATCAGACTCAGTAGAAATATCCATTTTTACAAAAAATGATAAATGGAATGCATAAATTTTCCAGACCATTATGTTTTTTTTTTTTTAAAGTTAATGTGACTATCAAATGCAAATGGTTCCATATAGCAGTAACTTCCAGGCAAGATTAATGGAATATATAAATCCTATCTGACAACTCATACTTTACCTTTGGCTTCACAGCTGAAGAACAGGTGTTTACGTTAGGTCTTCTTTACCTATCAATTCCTGTTTTCCACCAAATATTCCAAACTTTGCAAGGGAATAACATAAACATTACCGCCATTATATCTTACCTTCATCCCATTCTCTCGGATATCTTTGATCAAAGCCCCTGGGTTGTCAGTGGCCTCAAGATGAAAGGTGTATTGATTGGCTCCTGCTACGGCCATTGGCTTCACCCACTGTTCAGGCCTGGCCACCATCATGTGCATATCTGCCAAGAAAAGACACAGCTCCTAAGTATCACCAGTAGGAAAGTATCTGGCTCCTATTATGACAGCTAGTCTCATAGTCTTGGCCATTTTGAATGTAAACTCTTGATATGACAAAAATTATGTTATACTTTAATACAGGTAGTTTCCCTTTATTCTGAATAGAGTTTGGTTAAATTCATTCACCCCTCCCCACAAATGCCCCTCCCCCCACATTGCCATGTATGAAAACTGAATACTAAAAATCATGAAACCTCATTTTAGTCCCGGAAATGTCACTCTAGAACAATTAAATAACTCCTATTACCTATATAGCCTTTTTCCTCTCAGAAAGCTAATTTTGTTATCATTTATTCTTTCAGCCAACCTTTACTGAACATTTACTATACCATTAAATACTCTAGGCCTTAGGTTTATGGTAGAAAGCAGACTTTTGACTGCTGTCTGTCTGCAATAGTAAGAATTACATGCATAGTGAGAAAAACACAATAAATAAAATTTTAAAAGTGGCTGACAGTTATTGGACCAATGTGGGGCAGGGGCTGCACCAAGGGAGCAGAGGTCAGGGAGGCACACAGTAAGGAGCCAGCAGTGGGCTCCGCAGGCCATGGTTGTTTTCTGAATGAGATAGGAAAATACCACAGGATTCTGGATGAAGTGACAGGCTTGACTGAGGTGGCTGGCTACTGTGACAGTAACTGAAGTAGAAAGGGTGAGGGCAGCAACTGAGTAGATGGACAAAGTTAAGATAGCAAGGATTTGGGCCTGAGCAACTAGAACACAATGGCCAGTACGTGAACAACAGAATCGTGTAGGGGGAGGGACAGACTCAATGACAGACAGGTTGACCAGGAGTCTGATCTTCATCACAATTTTAAAGCTTGGTTCACTCAAGTATGTAAGGGAGAGCAAAGGCATAGCCTTATCAAAGATCTTGAATGCTTGAAACAGCATTTCATGAAAAGGAAAGTGTAGGTGAAGAGACTAAATCAAGAAATAACTCTGTGAACAAAAACTCCTGTGCCAGATACAGGTATAGAGAATTCCTAGGTTTTTATTTTGCTAGAAGTACATTTATGACATAGTCAAGTTGTACTTAAGAAAAAAATTATAGTATTTCAGAACTTAAACTAAGACTATAAAGTTTAACAAAGCTTAGAAAGAATGTCAGGAAAAGAGTGTACACAGCTTTACTAATAAAGTCAAGGTTAAAGTTTATTTCTAAACTAGAAAAAATAAATTACAATTTCAGTAGGCAAAACTTTCCCTCCCTCTTTCATTTCTTTCACATTACTGGTGACTGAACCCAGGACCATCACAATAAACTATACCTTCCCAGCCCTCTTGAAACATGGTTTCACTAAGCAGGCCAGGAGAGACCTGAATTTGTGATCATCCTGCCTCAGCCTCCCAATATGATGGGATTATAGGCATGTGTCACATTATCTGGATTTATTTTTTTTAAATGTATTCAATCTGATGTTCCTTATATCATGTAATCTAAACAAGGAAAATTCAATCTGGCTTATAATATCCAGTTCATCCATTCTTTAAGATACCAGATCCCTCAGTCATTCCTATTCAATCTCCAACCTACAGTACCTGACAATCCTTACTGGAGAATCTCCACAATTTGGAGGAGTCATGGATCATTAATCTGCCTACAGTTAACAAGATCAGCAACTCTCAAACATGCTGGTACCTTGTGTTCCCTTTACATTCAAAACTTATTGAAGAGCCCAAAAAAATTTTGTTGACTTATAGATATTTAATGTATTTAAATGTATTAGATATTTAATGTATTGTGTGAAAACACTTTAAATTACCTACTTATCAATTCATTAATAAACCATTATACTAATTCAATAATATAATAAACTATTATACTAAATTAAAGTCCCGTTTATTCATGGTTTTGCTTTCTGCTGTTTCATTTCTGAGATTTTCTGCTATGAGTCCATGGTCCAAAATGATACAAAATTCCAGAAATAAACAAACCCTAAGTTTTAAACTGCCTCAAAACACCTTGCTCTGTGAATGACCTCTCTGTCCAATGAATCCACACTCTATACCCTACCGGCCCATTAGTCATGCAGTGGCCATTCTGGTAATCAGATCCACTATCATGGCATCAGTGTCATATGCAAGGGACCCATAATTTACTTAATAATCGCCCCAAAGCTCATAAGCAGTGATGCTGACAGTTCAGATATGCCAAAGAGAGGCTGTGAAGTGCTTCCTCTATTATTTCACATCATCACAAGAGTAAATACTGCACAGTAAGATATTTTGAGACGATACATATGCTTGTTTACAGTGCTTTGTTATAGCTATTGTATTATTGTTGCTAATCTCTTAGAATGCCTAATTCATAAATTAAACTACATCATAGTATGGATGTACTATGTATGGAAGAAACATAGTCCAGTTGGTCTCTGATTTAACAATGGCTGAAAGCTTCACAGCATGATCTTTTCCTATGTGAGTGATATGTGAACAGTAAATACTCCCTCCCAATGCGGCAATGAGCCACAGCTCCCAGTCACCCATGTGGTCACAGGGTGAACAACTGATTCAGTAAAGTGTATTGTGTTGCCAGTTGGATATAGGTGTAATAAATCACACAAGATATCCATCAATTATTATAAAACAGCCTCTGTGTTAAATGATTTTTATGTAACAATTAGTTATTTTAAGTACTGCATATGTTTAAGATAGGTTAGGTGAAGTTAGTTTGACAGGTTAGGGTTATTAGATGCATTTTTGACTTATACTTCCAACTTCCAACACATTTACTAGGAAGTAAGCTCTTTGTAAGTCAAGGATCATCCTCAGGAAGCTGTCAATCTTAAGAGTGGTAAAAGATAAAACTTTTCCAATTTTCTATTTTTCTCTTGCAGGCTCTAATTTGTATCAGTAGCAACAAAAACTGACAAGGTGTTTTTCCTAAAGTTGCGAGTTCTTTTGTTAATTTAAAAGAATTTGTTAGTAAAACAGTCAATTCTTAAAAAGTACCAGGTTATCTGCCAGTTGTTTTTCCAAGAAAAAAAATGGTGTTCATTGAAAAAGCTAATTCAGATCATAATTCAAACTATCATGTAAGATAATTTCCTCGAAAAAAGTGCTGCACCTGAGTATGCACAAGGGCCTTCTCTTCATATAAATGTTCAACAGGCACATACTCAAGAGCCAAGATGTATTTAAATCAATAATTTATGCTGTTTCAAAAGGACACTTCCTGTGGACACAGTGAGGATGCATTTATGACTACTGGAATAGCTCAACACCACTGCAACTATCTGGGTTAAAGCATCACCAAGCCAAATCACCATTTGCACCATAAACATAATAAGCAACAAGTAACACCTTGGTATTATGAAAGCAGCTCTGACGCACAGCCGACTGGAACAGGTCTTAAGGATATCTATGGCCCAAACTATACTATAACAGTATTATTATATTGTTAGTACTGACTGATTTAGATAACAAGGCAAAAAGATTTCTTATCACTTTACTCCTTAGATGGTTTGTTTTGTTTTCTCAGAGAGTGTCTCACTATGTAGCCCAGGCTGGTCTTGAAGTTGCAGGGATCCACCTGCCTCAGCCTCCCAAGTGCTGAGATTACAGGCATGGGCCACCACACTGGACTTCCTTAGATGGTTATTTCTACTTAGTACTAAGATGGAGCAGTTACAAATTTCAGAAGTTTACATACAGTTTGTGATTTAGATCTTAAAATATATTCGTGTAGCAATTTATCCAAAAACAAAGACACAAGAATTAACAAAAAATAAAAATCCTTCTTTTAGAAATGTTATTTAGCAAGTTTTTCAGCAAACAATAAGAGCAGGAGAAAAAGTGAAGTGCACATGGAAGTAGCAGTAGGACTAGAAAGAGGAGAGACACTTGATAGGAGAAGACACAGATAGCATTTAGAAATCACACCAGGAGCCAAAATAAAAGGCAAAAAAATTTTAAGCCCCACATAAGGAAGCTAGAAGCAGAGGATTCAACAGCTATTTTACAGTCAAACTATGCTATTTCATCCAACTCTTTTTGTGAAAAATTCACAAAAAAGAGTCATGGTATCTGGTATACATTAATTAAAGAAGAAATTTACTTTGGAAATTTCATTTTCTAAACAGTGGCAAAAACAAAAACAAAAAGTTTAGCTAAATCAAACAGCTGTAATCCATTATTTGGAAATTTCAAATGATGACCATGTCACTGTAACTCTGCTTGTCCTGGCCCCTGAATTAAGTGATAAAGCACGTTTTTCTTCAGGCCTCATGAATTCTCCAGAAAGGACAGAAATGTTCCATAGCTGCACAGTACAAACCAATAGTCATTTGCCTGCGTGGGCTGAGGACCTGCAGTGTTAGGAATGTGGATGAGAAACTCAAATGTTTCATTTTAATTACTTCTAAATAGTTATATGTGGTTTGAGACTACCATAGTGAACAGCAGAGTTCTTTACAAAACTGGCCAGTACTATGCTGATAAAAATAATAAAAAAAAAGTTCTATTAAATTTTACAAGTTACGTAAAAATGCTTTATAAAAACTAGTATAATTTTTTATGTACAAAAGACTTGGCAAATGAGGCAGTGCTAATATAGTTTATTCTTATTATCCTAGGACACTGAAGTGGAGCATATTTAGGCTGTATGCGTAGAATGCTACACTTTCCATGAAATAAATGACTTCCAGACCATAAATCAGTCAAGTGATTCATAAATTCAATTAATGGGCCGGGGATTTGGCTCAGTGGTTCCGCTGCCTGCCTCGCAAGCATAAGGGACCGAGTTAGATCCCCAGCAAAACAAAAAAAAAAACCCCTAAAACCCCAAACCAAAAAACAAACAAAAAAAACCCATAAATTCAATTAACAATTACACTGAGTCCCAAACCTGTATCAATGCTTAACTTTAGGGCATTAAATAAGGTGGAGTTAATTTCTGCTCTCATGGATTTTATAGTCTGATAAAAGTAATCTCTGATCAAAGGAAGTTCTAAGAAGAAAATCAACAAGATCTTAACTGGATAAAAATTAATTTAGCATAGATGCTTAGAAAATGACAAGTGACTTGAGGCCCAAAGATGAGGCAGTCAGCCAAGTAAAAAGCTTCGTAGGCAGACAGTAGCAAGTATCAAGGCTCTGAGGCAGAAGAAAGTTTTTTGCTACTGAACTCAGGCTACTGAAGCCCTAGCACAGGGAGCAGTCAGGAGGACAGGGGAAAAGGGTACAAGATGAACTCAAAGTTAAGAAATCAACTATCCACTTTTCCTTTATTTGAACAACATATTCAACTTCAGAAGGTATAACACCCACTTACCAAAGAAAGGGTCCTGGCCTAGCTGCTTTCGGAGGCTTTCTACCACAGGGTGACCAAAGGTGATGTTGGGAACAAAATGCCTACAAGACAAACAAAATCTTACTCTGAAAATGTTTTCAATTCAGTTTCTGTATTTTTGTCACTATGAAGTGTGATGAGGATAGTGGAGACTGTCTGGGACTTTTTCAACTTAATACAATATTAAAGTAAAAATGACTGGATTAATTTTGGTTTTCCAGAACAATTTCGCCTTGATGTTACAACAAATATGCAATGTCACAAGTATCATCATAATGATCAGTCTATAATTCATAACCTATGACAGAAATGCAAAGACAACAAAGTAAAAAAAAACTCCAAAGTTTGACTCACCTAATGCACACACTAGTTAGTAAAGTTCACAGTTCTAACACAGGTCTCCTGAATCCTAGCTTGTCAGTGGAAACTTGTAGCTACCTCTGATACATTTCAACCACAGAGCACTAAATGACGGTTTATTTAAACTTTCCTAAAGATAACTATTTTTACCTTGGGTTTACTACAGGACAGGGACTGTACCCTACTTCATTTCATCTTTACAACAGCCAGATGAAAAGGTACTATTATTACTCCCATTGAAAAACACAGACTAAATAACGTCCTTAGGTCATTCAGTTAATAATCTGTGGAGGAAGGAATCAAATGAAATATGTCTGCATCAAACCCAAAATAGTCTTTAACCTGCTTTCAGTTAGTACTTCTGTTGTGTCTCTTGTTCAATAAAATACTTAACAAAACCTCAATTTCCATGGTAGGTACATTAAGTACTATGTTTTGGGAAGAAATATGTTGGCGTTCCTTTTAGCCTGAGTTTACAAACTCACTGGCTATAGATGGCTAGTGACTCACCAAAATTCATGACCCTACTGCCACAGAATTGGAGTAAATGGGAAACCAGCTCACCCAAGGACTACATTTCCCAGCTCCCTTTATGTCCAAAGCAGCCCATGTGACTAACTGTTGTAAGGGTACTATGAGTTCAAGTGATGTGTATCATTGCAGAGTCCAGAAGTGGTACATGAGCGTTCCTAATCCAAAAACCCAAAATGTTTTCAAATTAGAAACTTTTTGAGTGCCAACATGATGCCATGGGTAGTAAAGTCCACTCATTATGAAACAGACGACAGTCGAAACTCTGGGACACTGAACAGCACTATATAAAATTACCTTCAGATGTGTATAAGCTGGATAGAAAAAAAATGAATTTTATTTTTAGATTTGGGTACCATTCCCCCCCCAAGTATCTCATTACATATATGCAAGTATTCCAAAATAAAAACTAAAACACTTCTGTTCTCAAGCATTTTGGATAAGGTTGTTTTCTACTAATTGTGGTGCAGGCAAATAAATATCAGGGCCTTGAGCATGCTAAGCAATTGTTATGTCACTGAGCTACAATCCCAGCCCGCATTTTGGATAAGGGATATTCAACCTAATCCAAAATTCTTTTCCTACTCTCACTGTATCATTTTACCATTAAAGCCCTTCAAAATGAATGAAAACTATTCCCTTGAATTACTGTAGGAGAGGCATGGCGGCACATGCCTTAATCTCAGCACACTTGCTGAGGCAGGAGAATTACAAGTTCAAGGACAGCCTAGGCAACTCAGCAAGGCTTTGTCTCAAACAAACAAAAGGGAAGGGGATGCAGCGCAACATGAAAGCACTGGGTTCAATCCCCAGTACCACAAAAACAAACAATGATTGACTTTGAGAAAAGTTAAACAATAATGAACAGACAGTAGGTGATTATAGATAAAACTGTTAAAATTAAGAGCAAATATTACAGAATGTTAAGAGATCATGAGATTTATAAAACAATAGGATTTGTAAAGATGGGGAAAGGAAGGAAATAAAGGCAGAAATAAGCAAGTAATGTTCCAAGAAGGAGGAAATAGTATTGACCAGCTTGGCTGGTAGGAAAAATATGAGCGATAGGTTTTATCAAATTAAGGATGTCAAGTGCCAAACTCAACTCTTCAAACTTTATCCCACTGTAAATATGAAGTAAGATTTCAAAGCAAGCAGTAAATAATAGCTAAGACACAAACAATAAAGCAGAAAGATGGGCTGGGCAATAAATTGCAAGGAAGGTAAGAAAAGGTGTTAAAAGGTGGTAAGGAATAGTAATAATGACAAGGGATTGCAAGACTACCTGGATTTGTCAAATGATTAGATGTGGGGGAAGAGAGAGCAAAAGAGAACAAAACCTGGGCTGTGTGGTTCTAGGTACAGGTATCTGGCAGAGTAAGTACTAGTGATATACCATTCAGGCTCAAGTTTTAAACACATCCCACATACTAAACTTTAAAATCTCACAACAACCCCCTGAAACAGGTACTGTTATCTGTACTCTACTGATGAGGAAAAGGGGCCTGAGGTCAAACAACCAGTAAGTACCACAGGTAGGAAAGAAACACAGGCAATATGGATTCTAAAGCCAGGTTCTCAGCTACTATGTTCATCTGCCTGGACAATAAAAACAACAAGAAGTCTGGGGGACAGAACATAGCTGAAAGGGATAGACAAGGGCAGTCACTTTCACTCATTAACATATGGGTCCTTACAGCCTGGATTTCTAGTATTTAGTAAATTGGTGACTAAAGGAAATCACTACTGGAATTATAGATAAGATGATATGTTATGTAAACTAGAAATAAGGGTCTACTAAGAAGTCAATAAGGCTTACTGCACATTATATAATTTTGGAATTAAAAGATTCTGGTTTCATACTCTGTTCATTTACTGTGTGGCCTTTGTAGTCTTGATCTTAAATTTCATTTATAATAAAGGTAAAAGGATGCATAAAATGCTCCAGTATTCTCAGAAGAAAGCAAAGGCTCCTGGGCTAGGCCACAACAACAACAAAAAGGGCTACAAACCTCAGCATGAAGTCAGGCTGTGGTGAATTTGCGTGACAACAGTACCCACAGTGCTACAAATGGATATCAAGCCTACAGACTCCAACTTGGAAAACACTAAATTCACTCTAAGGAGGAGAAATTACATCAGAAAGTCTGCTTCATTCTACTTTGTTTTCCCTGAAGGAACATTTTGCAGTAGTGTTTAAGAAATAAAATGCAATAACTAATTCTTTTCCCAAGGATTCATTGGAATTAACCATAACCATTTGTAACATAAGACTAAAATTCTCTCATCTGTCATGATGTTCCATCACAAATCTTAAACTTTACTTAGAATATAACGGTAATACAATCTGTATCAGACAAATAATGCAAAGATGCTGATTAAGGCTGATGTATTATTCATCAAGGCTGTAACCAGAAGGGCAGGGATTTAGCACAGTGGTAATGCCGCCTGACTTGCAAGCACAAGGACCCAAGTTCAATTCACGGTACCCAAAAAAAAAGACTGTAACCAGAAAACAATCTTCTAGTAAGCCAGGACAATCTAACAAGCCAATGGGACCCAGCAGGTAAAATCCAGGAGCAAGGAGGACAGAGAGGAGTGGGGACAAATGAACACCCGGCCTGGCAAAAGTGGCTGCTGCCCTTCTCAGATCCCCCATCAGGGCTCTGGCAGAGGGTGGATCAATCCTTAAATTAAAAAAAAAAAAAAAAAAAAATTCCAAATATCCAACCATATGAGTAGCTCCCCCCTTCTGCAGTAATCTCCAAACTGGTTCTGACTTTCTAGATAAAGATATTCAATGCAAATCAGGAAAGAAATTAGAGCCCTAAGAGAGGAGGGACACTAGGAAGTAAGCACATCCAAACCATGTTTGATGAAATTTAGAAAATTCAGGAAAGAGAGAAACTCAGGGCAGTGCCATGAGGAAGGCATGCTGCACTGCCACCCTCAAAATGGACCCCTCAGCCCCACACTCACACCACTAGCATAGGAGATGCACAGCCCTTGGCAGAGGGGCACTGCACTCAGCTCAGCCAGGTCCTGCCTCTTGTGGCAGGACATCAACAAAAGAGGCCGAACCTTCCCAAACTGATTTGTTCCTCTGCAGAAGGGAAATAAACACAATTCTTTCTTTAAAAAGTATGTGAAGACTAAAAGGGAAAGAGCTTAAAAGCTGCGGAATTTAGTTTCTCCAATCCGGCCTTTCTTGGTGAAAGGCGATCCATTTAAAAAATATTTATTTTATTTAATAAGCTCAAGATATGTCACAAGGCTGGGAGGGGGAGAAGTGATTCTTAAGAGAGTCCTCCCATGGTTAATTTAATCATGCAGTCATTTAACAAATAGTAATTAAGCCTGTTGTGCTGCTTTACTGTAGAGAATACTACAGTTAGCAAGACAGACGTGAAGGAGATAACAAAAATAAGTGTATAAATTATTCTTTGAGAATCCAGAAATGTCTTATTTTTTCCAAGCCCAGGACTCACAGAAAGCTCTGAGATAACTCAGGCTGTTAACACTGCTCCTAACTCTGGCCCCCCCATTTCCTACCTATAAGGCAAGACTGCCATATTCCTCAATGTCAAAAATGCTGGCAATAACAAGAACACCAAGCGACTATGTTTGTGTGTGCTAATGCATAAGAAGTGCCACAACAGAAATGGATGAGTGGTCAGACATATTGCTACTCTTGCTGTTACTAATACTCTTGACCTGCAAATGAGAACAAATGATTTTCTCCATCCACTTCACTAACCTATACATGAGCTACTAAAGCAAGTTGCTTTCAGTAACAAATAGATTGACACACTAAGTAGAACTACATATGATGGCAAAAAAATCAAGCTTATGCGAAAGGCAGTATTTAATAATAACCTTATACATTGCACCTGTAATTCTTAGTGCTCTAAGGTCAAGGCTTACCATATTAGTAAGACAGATTTAGGAGGTGGAGTGGAAAAGAGGTCAGATTTAGCCACACAGAACAAAGAAGACAAAATTCTTACAGAGAAGTGAGTGACATTAAAAGGAGCTAATTAATCTGTTCAATGTAACACCAACTTGCACACCTGCATGACGGCACATGGAGGTTTTACCTATTTGAAGTTAATTTTTTCTATCCTGATCCAAGGTTATGACTTTTATGGTTTTATGACCAGGTTACAGTGGGGATTCAGAAAATGGTAGACACTTGGCAAAGCCAACAAGACATAAAATTAAGTCTGTCACAATCTCTGTAGTCTTGAGGAAGGAAGTCTGTTTTTTTCTATTAGGTTTGTATCCTCATTTTAGAACCAGGTTAAGAAAGTTGTACTCTGAAACATTATGTGCTATTACTATAGTGCTTATTACTTACAAAAAACTGACCTCCCTGAAGAGAAAATAGGCAGTAAAATCAAAATTCGAATAACGATACAACAATTATACAGAATTCACTATATTCCAGGCACAGTAAACTTCACTTTTCCACAAAAGTCTAAGTAGTAGGTTCTAAATATTCCCAGTTCTCAAGAAATGAAACTGAAGCTCACTGATAAGTGGCTTGTCCAAGATAAACTGGCAAAAGGAAACACTTGAGCAATCTTACTCCAAGTGCCAAGCTCTCGGTCCGTAACTAGCCAGCCACATGAGCTTGGGAAAGGCTTGCCCGTCCCCACGGGCCTCAGTCTCCACATCAACACAACAAAGACGCGTCTCAGAGCTTCAAGGTCGCTTCAGGGTCCTCGAGTCACACGTTAGGTGGGGGTGGGGAGGAGCTGAGGTCTGGGACCAAGTGCAGCCCGCTCTGCAGCGGAGTGAGCTCCTTCCGCGCTGGCCCAGTTCCGACCCCAGGCCCCTCCTCACAAGTGCACTAGGAGCAAGGTGCTCCGTGGGGAAGAACCCAGCAGGGACTCCGTCAAGGTGCGCCGTCTCGCGCCACGCGGCAACCCGCCCCGATCCCCCAGGAGTTACCCGTCCATCACATCCAGGTGCAGATAATCGGCCCCGGAGTCTAACATCCGGAGACACTCGGCCCCTAAACTGGCTAGGTCACTGTTAAGGATAGACGGGCCAATCTTGCAGCCCGATGCCATGGTGTTGGTTCCCTAAAATAAGTTGTCCCAGGAAGCCGTCGGCAAGAATTGGGCACACAGTTTGGACCTGCTCTTTCCCTGTACAGTCTTCCGGACGCTGCCGGAAGCAGCTGTCCTGAAAGAGGAAGTCCCGCCTCCTCCGAGTGGGAGGGGCCGTTAGGGGCGCGGGCCTGGCAGAGGGGCTAATTCCGCCTTTTCCTGACGCCAGTTCCGCTCAGTTTTGCAGTCTTTCGCCTTACCTTGTTCAAGGAGTTTCTTAAACTTCATTGGCCTTACTTTGTGTGCAGTTGTCTCTTCTCACTTTTTTCTTCTCCTTCATTTGCTTATCCAATTGCTTTCTTTTCCCCGCTCCGCCGGCAAGTGCTATGTTTGCCTTTAAGAATCAACAAAACCTTTCCTCTGTTTCTCTCCTATAGCAGAGCTCATGTCGCAAGTTGGAGCAACCTTAGCTCTGGCTGTTTCTGGCTTGCTCTAGCTAGGTGACTAGACGAGTCACTTCTCCTCGCCTCAGTTTTCTCATGCGTAAAGACACCTGCCCGGCATTTAGCTTCGTTTTGAGGATTAAAAGAGGCCAGGTATAATGCTCCCCACGGGCTGCCTGGTGGTCAGTACAAAATGGTGGTTATTATTACTACCCACCTTTGCTGCTTCTGTCCCTTGATCCTTTCTTTTTGTTTTTCCCTGTCAGCAGTGTTTACTGACAAATTTAGTACATCTGTTTTCTGTTTGTTCACCATACAGAAATGGATAAGTGTCCTGCTTCAAATGTGTCTGAAGTCTTGGGGTTAGGAAAAGAGATGGAAGTAAAAATCACATGAGCAGGAGGATATAAAGATTTAGCAGGAGTAATTCCTAGGGCGTAAGGATAGAGCATGACATAATCTATATTAAAGATGCAGTGGTGGTAAATTGGATCCCATGGTCTTTATGGCCACATACAAAAGACAACTGAATCTTTAGTATTCCCAATAGGAAATACATCAGTCACTGCAGCACGTTATAGTCTTAGTAGTGAAGTCAGTTGTTGGGGTACCTGTCTTGTCTTTCATTGTTCCCATTTCTGCTTTATTTTGAAAGGTAAAAGCACGGGTAGAATGGAGCTCAATGAGGGGAGGGGGCAACTGGACATGTCTTAATTGAATGGTAACCTCAGCCCAGAGTGGGTGGAAGAGATACAGGAAGGCATCCACAGGGATCCAAAATAAACATTTTGCTGAAAAGGGGCAACTGGACATGTCTTAATTGAATGGTAACCTCAGACCAGAGTGGGTGGAAGAGATACAGGAAGGCATCCACAGGGATCCAAAATAAACATTTTGCTGAATGAGCCAACCCGACCCCTATGGAGAGAAATAAAACTTAGTCATAGTAAATGCTTTTAGATTTATTATATGTGCATATTTAAACACAGAAGACTTAATATCTTTCATAAATATCTTTCATAAACATTTCAGTATTTATTCTTATGCATTTTTCCATGCTCTTTGGTCAGTCAGTATTCATAAGATTTCATAGTCATCTGAGGGAAGTTGGCTGTGTAGTCAATCCTTCAATTTTACCTATAAAATGGCTAACAAAGTACTTGCATCCTGTGGTCACAGTGACTATTAAAAAATATCATGGAGGTACATAGATCTGTAATCCTAAATGATCCTGAAATAATGCAAGTAAATTTATCTGAAACTTTTCCAAACACATTCTTTTCTCAACTTGTTTTATTCTCCTGAGTGTCAAATCAATGTTTGCTTCTGAAATGCTGCAGTTGAGGCCCACTAAAGTACATGAGGAAGTGGGACGTTTGACTCACTGCTAAGATACAAGGCTGTGCAATTGGGAAATATGAGGTCACAGGGCAACAGTATGACTCAGTATGATAGCAGCAAATTCTGGAGACTGTGCTCTATTAAAATATCTATATCTTGATTAATGTTTTAGACTATAATTCTATCCCATTTTTGATACTTTTTCCCCTGTAACTCTCTCTATAAACCCTGTTCTTTTATCTCAGAAACTCTCAGAGCTGGGAAGCAGAGTGGACAAAGTTCTTTGCCAACCAAAGGAACAGATGCTAAAGAAGAGAGGAAATGTCTTCTTGTCTCAGGTACTTGTGGAGGCCTGAAGTAGCAAACTAGATACTCCTGGCCTGTGGAATAGGCCTAATGAGATCACCAGTACCGCAAGTTTTCCCTCAGCATTGCCATGTGCCCATTTATGCCTTTTGACACTATAGTTCTTAGTGCCTTGTTCCAAGGTGCTCAATAACTCATTTCTTTTTCAGAAGAATCAAATAACTTATCTAATAGAATTATAGAAAGCAGCAAATATTGAAAAATGAAAGCAAAATATTTGCCATAGAAAATTCTGTATCTGGGATTTGAACTGGTTTGAATCTGAGCAGTATAAATCTGCAACCGCTATCATGGATGATACATGTTTATGCTAATGTCTCTTAAAAGTTAATTTCAGAAAAAGCAACCTCTTTGTTGAGTCCAATTTTTTTATATATATGGGAGTGGGTGCCTGCTTTATTTTTTCTCTGAATAAAATAAATATCATTAATCATCATGGCTTAAGAAATGATCAGTTATCACTACTATATTTTTCATATGTAATAATTAGCTTTTAGTCATGTCCTCAATAATATTTTGAACTTAACAAAAGACTGTCAATTATCTTGAACTTTTTCCTTATCTTGCCCAACTGTTGATTTTTAAAAATAGTTATTCCTTCAAACTCCAGGTAACAGTATTCCTGAGAATACATCTTGTGACGGTCTTATGCACATACATATGAATACTTTAGCCATTACACATAAACATTCAACACATTACATTCAACATGTTTAAGGATACCTTAAATGGAACAGATGCACACATGTGAAAATCTTAGTAATCCCAGTATGAAAACACTTCCACTCTATAAGGCCCTGTTTCTCAGAGTGGAAGATTTTTTTTTGCAAAGTACGATATTACTCGAAAAAATTTCTAACAGACTTCAATACACTAGAGTGAAGGAGTCAGGCTAAAAGGCAGACAGACCAGCAAAATTATGTTCAAAACAGCCAAATACATACATATATATCCATATATATATATATATATCCATACATATATATACATATATGGATATACCCATATATATATGGATATATATATATATATATATATATGAAGATATTTAGGATTCTTGTTGGTTATTTAACAATCTTCTTTGACCTCTTTACTTTTTAAAGATTTGATACAGTTAATACATAGAGGATTTGAATAAAGAAACTGGAACAAAGCACGCACATATAGACACTCATGTAGCCCAGACACTTGTAATTACCAAACTTAAGGCCTCTAATGCTAATTGAGCAGCATAATTTTTAACAAGAAAATATATATCAGAATCAGAAAACCACTTACATATCTACTTTTTCACTTTAGAATTATTTTAACACTAAATATAAATGAAATGAAAATGTTATAAAACATAAAAGAGGCTATTTACCTCCTTAATTTTTGAATTTTGTAATTTTAAAATTTAAATCTTACTTTTTATCATTGACTTACTGATATTATTCATTCTCTTAACCAATGGGACTATAACCTCAAATGATATTTGAAGTTGTGAGTCACAATATAAACAGTGCCTACTTAATAAACAACTCTAACAGAAAAATAATCTCGCTTTATGATTATGGTGGGTTTAAATCAGTCTCCTCTGACTAAACGTACATTTCACAGCCATTAAAGTGAAAGCTTAACCATATAGAATATATTTTAAACTCATCTCAATGAAATCAAAGTCTATTTTTAGCTTTTACTTGAAGATTAGAAAACACACACACACACACACACCCACACCACCACCACCACAACCATCATCACCACCATCATGACCATACCAATTTAGGTATGTGTATGGTAATTATGTAACAGTTTTCTAATGTAAACTGTTAACATTTTGAAAATTAATTTTGAACTACATGATGCTCAGCCCTTCAATAATCTATTAGGTACTGGCCTCACAGGCCTTCTAAATCTTACACTCTTCTTGAAGTGATTTAGCTTCAAGTTAAAGGCCTATTTGTAAAACATACAAGCTTGCTATGTTTATGAAGAAATTGCTTACTTTATATTTTTTCCTCATAAACGTAAATGCCCCAAGGATCATAAGAATATTTTTACTACTGAGAAATTTACTTTATTGAATCAATTCTACCTCTAACTTTAATATATGAAAATATATCCTCAAGGGCAGGCACAGGGTACTGTAAAGAAATAATCATATTTCCCAATAAATCCTAATGTTGTCAATGATGTAGTCAGGACTAGAAGTAGGAGTACCATCTCTTTGAAGCTATTACATTTGCATTTAGTTTTTATTGTATGAATATTTAGGCTCTTATTAATTCAGTTATATCTGGTCATTTCTAGCATATTTTTTGTCGGGATTGATTATGAAATGGAGTAATTTTATGGTACTAGCATTTTGATTAATGACATGCAGTGAAGACAACAGTTGAAAAATAAATTCTGAAAAGTCCATAGCTCTAAAAATAGTATTTTTTCTCCATCTAAATGGTTGTATTATTGACCCAAACACAAATGGCTGAAGACTTGTTATTTAGTCTTACTAAACAGATATTTTCCTTATTGATTTTTTTCATGTAAATTGCTACTTGTACAGCCACCTAATTTAATATTTTTGAAACTATAAAAATAAACATTTGCATGAGATGTATATGTCAGCAACCTCAAAAATTGCATTCTTTTTAGAACATATTACTTGTTAATATTTCTATGAAAGCAACACTGTAGTAGTATATATTTTTAACTGCTCAAGGCTTTTTGAATCACAATGTGCAGTGAAATGGCTCTTTCCCCTTACTTCTCCCTGATTGTTATGATCTTCTCCCAACTAAATCCTTTTAGCCATTGATTTTTAAGATGTTTGTGAACATTAGATGTACTGGCAACAAAATCTATTCGGAGTGTGCCACTCATTGGATGTAAAGTGCTATTTTATAAGTAATCTTTTAAAAGCAGAAGTATGAAACTTTCAGCAGTGATCCTTCCCATGTATTCTCTACACCTGCAATGCTCACAAGATGTACAAC